CGCGGCCTAGGAGCAGGCGGAAGGAGGACGAGGATGCGGCGGCGAAGGATGAGGAAGGAAAGAGGAGTGGGGGGACTGAGGACGAGCCAGGAGCAGGAGAGGGTGATAGTGATCATACTGATAAGGATTTCACTAATAAAATTCGTGTATATAGTACGGATAGTCACAAGAACCGTAGTATTCATAGTGATACTGGTATGAATAATGATACTAGTGAAAATGCGAATCATAATATAACCACTCAGGATCATGCTGATTATCATGATGCTGATGATGACGATTATGATGATGGTGTTGACGACGACGACGATTACGACGATCATGAAGATGACGATGATTGTGATGGTGGCCATGCTGGCGATTATGGTGATGGTGACCTGGTGACGACGATGACGATGATGATGCTGCTGATGATGATGACAATGTCTACGATGATGTTGATGCTGATGTCGACAACGAGGATGATGATGCTGATGACGATGAGGGTGATGATGGTGATGATAATGATGAGAGGTCGGATTCTGAAGCTGAATATGATGGTGATGACGGTGACGATGATGATGCTGATGATACTGATGATGAAGAGGATAGAGATGATAATGATTATGAGGGGGATTGGGATGATGATGTCGAGGATTGAGATGATGAGAACTGGGCTGATGATGATTTTGATGATGAGTAAGATGCTGACGATGACGATGCTGCTGATGATGATGATGATGATGATGATGATGCTGATGATGATGGTGATGCTTATGACGCTGATGATACCGACGACGATGACACTGATGAAGTCAATTGTGATGACTATGAGGAAGTGGATGATTTGATGCTAATGTTGATGCTGCTGGTGATGAGGCTGATGATGATGCTGTTGACGGTGACGACAATGCTGATAATGGTGATGCTGACGACGATGATGATGCTGATGATGATGATGATGATGATGATGATGATGATGATGATGATGATGATGCTGCTGATGATGATGATGATGATGTTGCTGATGATGATGATGATGATGGTGGTTTGTATGTGCATCGAGACGGTTGTGTGCAAGGGGGGCTGCGCAGTGATGATCCCGATGATGATCGCAGAAACGTTTAGCAGTGATCCGACTTCGTCCGTCACGGCTGAGCCGATTGCTCTAGGTGCAGTGGTTGAGGCTGCGAGAAAGCTCGCGCTCGAAATACGCAGACGGCCATCCGACATGTGACCCAAGCCTCGATTTTTTGTTACTCTTTATCAACAAGTAACAGCGGGCGGTGACGGCAGCTCTCGAGATCCTGGCGCTGGGCCTGGCGGTGCGCCAGGGCCCAGACGCGGCCGCTGTCGTTGGTTGGGTGGGTTGGGTGGGTCGGGTTTTGGGGGGGCGGGCGGGTGGAGAAGGAGCAGGAGGCGGAGGCGGAGGAGGAGGAGGAGGAGGAGGAGGAGGCGGAGGAGAGAGCGGCGGAGGAGGAGGAGAGGGAGGAGGAGGAGGAGGCGGAGGAGGAGGAGGAGGAGGAGGAGGAGGAGGAGGAGGAGGAGGAGGGAGGAGGAGGCGGAGGAGGAGAGGAAGGAGGCGGAGGCGGAGGAGGAGGAGGAGGCGGAGGAGCAGGGGAGGCGGAGGAGGAGGAGGGGCTGAGAATCCCCGGGGCCGACCTCGTCGCGGGTGGGGGGCTGCAGCCGGAGAGGCGCCGCCTCCCGCTCCGCGGGGCCCCTCCGGCGGGGCGGCTCGGGCCGCGCCTCCCCCCCCCCCCGGGAGGGGCGGCGCCTTCGCGCCGCACTGCGTGTGCGTGCGCGCGGTGCAGGGATTCCGGGGCCCTCGGTGCCTGCCAGCGGCAGGGCCCGCCCGCCGCGCTTCGGCGCCTCGGAGGAGGAGGGGAAGAACGAGGAGGAGGAGGAGGAGGAGGAGGAGGAGGAGGAGGAGGAGGAGGAGGAGGAGGAGGAGGAGGAGGAGGAGGAGGAGGAGGAGGAGAGAAAAAAAAGAACGAAAGCAAGAAAGCAAGTAAGACATAATGGAAGAAAGATGAGGAGGAGGAGGCAGAATGACTCCACAACCCTCTCTTTCCTCCTCCTCCACCTCCCCCTTCTCCTCCACCTCCCGCCCTCTCTTTATCCCCTCCTGCTGTAGATGCTCTCGCTCCCTTCTCCTCATGAAGCCGCCTTGAACGATCTGAGGCCGCCCGGAGCCCCTTGTTGCGACCTGAAGCTGCCAAGAACCCTTCTGGAGCCCAGCGGAACCTCGTCACGATCTCGGAGCCATCCTCATCATTTCCTTCTTCCCTTCCTCCTCTTCCTCCTCGCCCTCCAGCAACGAAGACGATGACGACGACACTCCTGGAGGGCACTGGGGCGGCACCAGACCCCAAAGGCGGTCCTGGACGCGTTCAGGGACGAGATGGTCGCCAGGCTCGACTGGAACCTTCTGGGCAAGGACCACGCGCCCCCCGCCCTTTGAGAGGCGCCGGTGTCCTTCTTTCGCCGACCTCGGAGGTTCTCGAAGGTTCTTCGGACGGCTTCTGTGGGTCCTCGAGAGGTCCCTTGAGGTTTGGACATGGTTTCGCCAGTTTCTGGACTGGGGGGAGCACCAAACGGGATGAGGAACTTGGGCGGGGTAGAACGGGAGAAGACACTGACGGAGGAGGAGGAGGATGAGAAGGAGGAGGAGGAGGAGGAGGACGGACGACCACGTGGTGGTGGTGGTGGTGGGGATGGAGATGATGATGATGATGATGATGATGATGATGATGATGATGATGATGATGCTGATGATGATGATGATGGTGATGATGATGATGACGATGATGCTGGTGATGATGATGATGGTAAGGATCTTGCTGATGATGATGGTGGTGATGATTGTGGTGGTGGTGGCGACAACGTTGATGACGATGATAATGATGATGAGGATGATGATGATAACGAGGACGAGGATGAGGATGAAGATGGCGATGGTGGCGATGATGGTCTCGATGGAGATTACACGAATGGTGCTGTTGATGAGGATGCGGATGATGAGACTGAGGACGATGATATTGATGATTGTGATAGTGATGATGATGATGCCGAGGAGGCCGGAGGAGTAGTATCTCGATGAAGATGAGACGGAGGATATGGATGAGTATGAACAGGAGGAAAAGGAAGAGGAAACGGATGATGTTGATGATGCTGATGACGATGAGGATGGCGGTGGGCGCGATGGTGATGATGATGGTGGTGACGATGGTGGTGAGAATGCTGATGATGACAATGATGATAATGACAATGATGATGCTGATGATGATGATGATGATCATGACGATAATGATTATCATGATGCTGATCATGCTGGTGGTGGTGATGCTGATATTGATGATGCTGATGCTGGTCATGATGCTGCTGATGATGATTACGATGATGATTATGATGATGACCATGAGGATGATGGTGATGGTGATGGTGATAAAGGTGGTGATGGTGACGACGACGATGATGACGATGACAATCATGGTGGTGGTGATGGTGACGATTGTGAAGATGATGGTGATGATGCAGATATTGCTGCCGATGATGATTGTGATGATGCTGATGTTGATGATACTGATGGTGATGTTGCTGAGCATGTTGTTGCTGTTGATGACGACCATGGTGTGATTGTGATGGTACTGGCGATACTGCTGCTTATGATGATGGTGACGGTGATTATGATGATGATGATGATGATGATGATGATGATGATGATGCTCATGATGATGATGCTGCTGATGATGATGATGATAATGATGATGATGATGATGATGATGATGATGATGATGATGATGATGATGATGATGATGATGATGATGATGATGCTGATGATGCTGATGATGACGATGAGAAGGAGGAGGAGGAGGAGGAGGAGGAGGGGGAGGAAGGAGGAGTCATGGCAAGTCCAGGATGTTTGCCACATGCACATGCTTCTTACCCCTGTCCGGAGTAAAGGTGATCTCGTGCAGCGGCGCATGACCAGCCCATACAGGCTAATTTGGGACAGTGGGGCAGGAAGAAGGGAGGCGGAGTCGAGAGAATGGGGAAGGCGAGAGTGGGAGGAGGGTGGCGGGGGGGGAGTGGGAGGCAGGGGGGGGTGGAGGAGCACTGGGAAGAGTTTGGAGGAGGAAGAAAAAGAGGATGGTGAAGGGTGGAGGAGGTAGGGAGGAGAGCGGAGGGAAGAGGAGGGCGGCACCGGGCAGGACACCAAGTACTTCTCCTCCGATTTTGCCATGCCCTACCTGCTGGCGGCACGCGGCTACAACATGGAACCCTGGCCAGATGTCGCGCAGATGGAGAAGGATGTGCTCGTCCCCCCCTTCGCGGCCTGCCCCCCTCCCCCCCCCCGCGTGCGCCCTGGCTCTCCAGGACAGGAGCGTTGAGTCGGGCGTACCCCCCATACAGGAGGAATGCTCAAACACAGTCAAGAAATAGTCTGGGGACGATGCTTCGATTGTTTTGGAAGTATGTTTTGAGCATGTTTTGCATCTGTTTTATGTTTCGTCCAACGCCCGCCTGTAGGCGGACGTGCCCGACCCAACCAGAGCGCGCACCGCTCGCTCAGGCACGCGGGCCACCGCCCCGGCCCTCCGCGTGCCCCCCCTCCCGACGCCCTCCTGCCTGCCTCTCCTGCCTGCCTCTCCCGCCTGCCTCCTGCCTGCCCTGCGCCCCCCGTCCCACAGTGGGGCCCCGTGCCAAGAAACACCCTGCTTGCCTCCAGGGTGCCCCAGGTTTGTTGGGTTTCGATGGCTTCGCGATGGAAGGCGCGACGAGCCCACACCAGAAATCCAGAGACGTCATGGGGTCTCAGGGTTAGGTTTCTGGTGGAAGGTTTCTTGTGGTCGGGCCCCCACTGTATCCTCAAGCGCCCTGCTGCCATCTTGAACACGGCACCGCGCGCGCGCGCCCGCACCGCAGCCGATCTGGGCTCCGAGCGGGACGCAGCCCTGGACCTCCCCGCCGCCGCGTGGCGCACCTCCGAGCCGGAGCCCCGCGCAGCAGCCGCGCCTTCCATGGAGCCCCTGGCCAGCCTTCCGGAGCTGCCGCCGAGCGACTGCCCCGACCTTCAGAAGGCCAGCACGGGCTCGACCGAGGCCCGTCGGCAGGGTCGGCCGCCGTCGCCGCCGTCGCCGTCTGCCTCCTTCTCCTGCTCTTCCTGCTTCGCCTGGACGTCTTCCACCTCCACCGCCGCCGCCTCTGCCGCCTACCCCGCCTCCGCCTTTTCCTCCTCCTTCTCCTGCTTCTGCTTCTGCTCATGCTCCTCCTCCTCCTCCTTCTCCTCCTCCTCCTCCTCCTCCTCCCTCCTCCTCCCCTCCTCCTCCTCCTCCTCTCTCCTCCTCCTCCCCCTCCTCCCTCCTCTCCTCCTCCTCCTCCTCCTCCTCCTCTCCTCCTCCTCCTTCCTCCTCCTCCTCCCCCTCCTCCTTCTCCTCCTCCTTCCGCTCCTCCTCCCGTTCAGGATCTTCAAACGGTTGCCTCCTATCGTGGCACACCCCCTCAGTGGAAATGAACACTTGAAGGGGCCTGTGACGAGTGAACTTGGAGGGAGGGTCTATTCCAACACCGTTGATGAGCCTTGGGTTTACAGTGGTCCCCTCCTTCTCCTGCTCCTGCTGCGGCTCCACCTCGTCAGTGTCGCCGATTCTGCCTGCGCCGACCTGGAGCTCAACTAGAGCCTGAGCGGCTCGGCGCCGCCGCGCCCGCAGCGTCCGCAGGCGAGATCCAGCCGCCTTCAGGGCCGCTCGCTCCTCCTCCTGCAGCAGCACCACGGCAGCACCGGGGCCCGACCTTCACCCACCAGCCCATCGACGAGGCGGCCGCCCGGAACTGCCTCGACCGGCACCTCCCTGACCCCCGCCTTCCGACGCGCCCGCCCGACGGCGCCGGGCCCCGACCGGTTCGGGGCCGCGGCCCGGCTCGTGGACGAGCGCTCGGCGGTGCCCTGCATGCTGGAGCCCTGCTCGGGCCGGCCGGCCCCGCGGGGGCTGAGCTTTTCGGACATGGTCGGCCACGTGCAGAGGGGGGTGGGGGGAGGGCTTCTGAGAAGCACCCCTGCTTCTTAGAAGGCGCGAGCCTCATCTATAGATTTAAGGCCGGCGCCTTCTAAGAAGCAGCCTCCTTCTAAGAAGCCCTCCCCCTCCTTCCACCCCCTTGCGCGCGCCGCCAACATGGTCTTCGTGCCCGAGGGCACTGGCCTGACGGACATCTTGGACGTCACCTGCCACGCGTCCAAGCTGCGACCCCTTCCTTTGAAGAGCTCGGACGTGAAGGCGACGGTGGCGACCGCGAACGCGCAGCTGGTGCCAATGGTGGCTGAGCGGACCTACGGCTCACAACAAGGTTTCATCCGAGGCCGTGCTTGTCTCTCGCGCATCGTGCGCCAGGGTGCGGTAGCCCGTCTTGCCACTTTTTGTATCGTTTGACGTTCGCGCTGTCTTTCCCTCGCTCTCCCAGGTCTTCCTCTTCTTGGCCCTTGATAAGCACCGCATGGGCTCTCGCCCATTCCCGCTGCGGCTCCAACGGGCCCCCCCTTCTGCCTGGTGGCTTCCGGAGTTGCTTATGGATGCCCCCATCTGGGGGTCTTTATGGATTCTGATCATGGACCCGCTGTTGAGGCACCTTGCGGACCAGCTGGAGTCCCAGCAGGCTCACATGTTCTGCCCGCGGCCGTTCTGGGGCTCCAAAGCTTGAGCTTGAGTGCGGAGCGACAGCGGACGATGCGGGTGCGATGTTCCCTTTAATTGGCGTTTTTCGTCTGCTCTCCCTCCCCTTCGCCGCCGCCCGCACCTTTTGCCAACCTGTCTTGGCAGCCGGCTACCTGGGCCATCGCTCCTTTTGGCCGAGCGGTGCACGGACGCCGTAGTGCAGAAATTCCGACAGCAGATCCTGACCCCCATCCCGGCATGGGCTAATTTCGCGATAATAGGATCCACGCAGTTCCTTGGCATGAGATTCGGCCCATCGGCAGAACTCGACGCCTATTGGGCGGCACCCACGCGCAAGTGGCGTGAACGATTTCGAGACACTGCGTTGTCACGATACCCCACGGAAGCTAGCTGCCGCATCCGTAATTCTGGCGCAATCTTCGACTTGAGCTACTTGTGCCAGCTCTTCCCCCCTCCTCCGCGCGCAACGTCACGCCCTCCACCGCCTTCTTCGCCTCCCCCCCACGTCCTGTGGTCTCGCTGGGCCCCTCAGCGCAGGTAGCTGGCTCGCCTCGGCCACCCCGCGTTCGTTTCGGATCCTGTGTGCGGTTTCAGCATGGCGCACTGCGTCTCACACACTTCGTGAGTTCGGGGAGGGGTTGGTGGCGGGCCTCGCTCGGCATTCTGTCGTCGTGGGCTGAGATGGCTGCGAGTCTCCCACACGTCGCAACGGGGCACCTTAGCCTTGAGTGCTGGATGAACCTGACCAGCATTGGTGCATTCTTTGCCAATCTCTCACCTGCCGCTTCCGATGCCTCGGGGGTCCTTGAGGATGCGTAGGGGACAGCGGCGGCCGCGGCGCGTGAACCGATTCGGTACGCTGGCGAGGAAGTCCGCCGCCCGCGGCCGCACAGAATACTCGTCCGATCTGTCTCCTCCTCCTCGTCCTCCTCCTTGCTCCCCGATTCTCTCCCCTCATTTTTCGGGCGCCTTTTTCACAGCTGGATCGGTGGCCGTGTTCCAGAGGAGCCCTTCTGGAACACGGAGATCCTGGGACTTAGTCTGCAGACTTCCTCCGTGCCCCCATTTACAGAACTGACCCGGGGGTGGGCAGCGCTTCGCCAGATTTTAGAGCGCACTCCCCCAGTGTGTGCTTGGGCCCACACCAGGGCAGTTGCCAGCGGCTGGACGACGTCGGTCGGCTCCTATCTCCAGCGTCCAGTCTCGTCGATGTTTTCTCGGATGTCAGATCCCCACTCCAGTCCAAGAAGACAAAACCACATAAACATAAACTCTTGGCGCTCCGCGCGGGTTTCTTGGATCCGCGCCTGGCCCCCCCCCCCGGCGGCGCCTCCAGGGCCGCCTTTGGCGGCGCGCTCCGCGCGCCTTAGGAGGGGGTCCAGCGCGAAGCCAAGAAATCCGCGCGGAGCGCCACAAGTTTATGCTTGTGTGGTGTTCTCTTGTTCTATCCATGCCCCAGTGTCTTCCCTTGCCATCGCCTGCTCCGCTTCTCTCTCTCTCTCTCTCTCTCTCCCTCGTGGCCGTCTTCCTGCCTGCCCCTATCGCTCGTCTTGGCCTCGGACCTTCCCTGGGTGCGGTGAATGCCCACGCCATCGTTGTCACGACATCGTCGTTTTGAGTTTCCATATCAGTACCTGTCTATATATATATATATAGGTGCTTTGGGTTAATAAGCGTGGGGGGTGCCCCCCCGACGGGGGTCAACCTCGCCTCGTCGTCGCGCCGCGACGGGGGTCGCAGCGCCTTCGGCGCGCGGTGGCTGCCCGCGACGGGGGTCGATGTGGAGCTGTCGGTGGGGGTGACGCCCCCCCCGACGCTTATCCGGAAACTCGGATGATTTATATATATATATACATACATATATGTATATATGTCAGTACATTTAATATTGCCACAAACGGAAGTCTGATTCGGCGAGCCGCACCCGGTGCCCCTCGCATGCGCACCACTGCAATGCACGAGCCGCTGCGCTCGCCCCACTGCGGTGCACAGAGCGCCGGCGGTGGCCGCATGCTCATGGGCTCCGGCGGCGCTGCGCTCCTCCCCCTCCTGCCTTCCACCTGCTCCATCTGCCTGCTCCTGACAGGGAGCCTCCCAGACCCTCCTCCTCCTCCTGCCCCCCTCCGTCTCCTCCGCCTCCTGCCCCGCCCCCACCTCCTCCGCCTGCTCCTGTCCACCTTCCCTTCTCGCCCTCCGCCCCCCTCTCCTCCTCCTGCTCCTCCCCCCCTCCTACCCCTCCACCTCCTCCCGCGCCTCCCCCCCCCTGCACCGTCTCCCTCCTCCCCGCCCTCCCCCTTCCGGCAACTCCCCCGACGCCAGGCCCCCTCGACATCCGGCTCGGGCTCTTCGACGTCCGACTCCGACTCGGACTCCGGCTCCAACTCCCGGCGCTCGGGCGCAGCAGCCGACGCCGCGAGCAGCGACGGGAACAGCAGCGACAGCGACAGCGACAGCGAGCTCACCGACATCAGCGACGAGGAGGCGGTCGACGAGGACAGCGCCTCCTGCTGCCTGCTGCTCCCCTCCCCTGTCCGTCGCGGTCGTCGTCGTCCTCCTCCTCCTCCTCTTCTCCCTCGTTCTCATCGCTCTCCTGGTTGTGCTCCTCTTCCTCATCCGTCCCATGTCCTTATCAATCACTTCTCTCCTGCTACACCTCCAGACGCGTCGGCAGGTCGGGCCAGCAGCGTTTTGTTGGGACATCCTCACCACTTGTGATCCTGAGGATTGAAGCTTGCCACAGTTTCAAGGATTGAGGGCTGGTGTCCTCTAAACTTTGTCTCTCGTACTAGCTCCGCGCACATTGGTTGTAGAAGCTTGGAGCAACTTCAAGGATGGAGGGCGAATCTCTTTCAAACTGTGGCTCCCGCTTCAGCGCCGCGCACATTCGTCTTTGAAAGTTCGCAGCGTCTTCTTGGACGGCGGGCGGCTGGTTCAACATGTGGCTCTCGCCTCAGCGCCGCGCACGTTCGTCTTTTATGTTGCATCTTGGGATGACCTCGCCTGTCCCCGCATTTGGTGTCTTATCTTGTGCCCGATGCGAGCTCTATGCGGACTCGACTCAGATCGGCGTGGATTCGACGCGGAATCGACACGGTTTCGACACGGACTCGACGAACCCGACGTGGATTCGACATGGATTCGATACGGATGCGTAGGGCCGCGACGGGACAGACAAGGTCCCCCGAGGATGCAAGATAAGGATGGAGGGTCTCGTCTCAGCGCCGCTCGCATTCGTCTTAACACATTGCAGCAGCTTCAAAGATTGAGTTGACCTCCCAGGAGCTGTGTTCTGTCACGGTTTAGGGTTGGCAAGGCGCAGGACTCACGTTGATTTGCCGTGTGGGGGTATAGAATTGGTGTTCTGGCACGGCCTAGGATTGTCAGAACCCAGCAAACACGATGATTTGCGACGTTGAAGTCCCAAGAAAGTGTTTTCGAATGATGACAATTCTCAGTCGGTTCTCGTCCAACCACTTCCCGCAATGCGCGTGCATTCTTGCTTTGGACCTTTGAAGCGGGAATGTTGAGGTATGGTTTATAGCAACACCGTCTCCTACTCGCCTTCTCCTCTCCTCCCTTGCATTCTCCTCCTCCTCCTCCTCCTCCTCGTTCCCCCCCTCGTCATTATTATTGTTATTATTCTCCTCCTCCTTCTCCTCCTCCCTCCTCCCTATTCCCCTGCCCCTTTCTCTCGTCCACCTCTGGAGCTATTGCGTGAGATCCAAAGATCAGGCACGATACGCGCACAGCGTAAGATCCCAAGAGCACGCACGTCAACGACTCAAACGTAGCTTTGGGCCAGCGAATCGGGCCAGGCCGAACGTCCAGGGAGGGGGCGGGCTCCCAGCTGCGAGCGCGGCGATCGCCCTCCGACCCCAGGAGCCAACTCTGTCAGGATAGCAAATCGAGGTCGGTTTGACAAGATTATCCACTTGTGCCCGTGGCCCCGCGACCTGGCACCAATGTTTTCTTCGCAAGCATGCGAGGGATGGATGTCCGCATGGATCTTGGGACACGGCGTGGCCAACCGCTCTTGCACTCGAGACTCGGCAGAGGAGCGGTTCAGACAGTGTTTTCCATTGATGCTTGTTCTTAGCTGCCCCGACACGCAACACGCAGCACGTAGCGTAATGATACGGAGCTCGAGACGTTGACTGAACACGTACATTTTGAACACAGACGTTTTGAACACGGCACGTGTTACGTTTCAACACGTGCGTACCAGAGCAGCTAAGTGCCTGTTGTGTCCGACTCCGACCCTCAACAGCGCGATCAGATACCACATTGGCCTCCACCTCATCAGCTCGCTCACGGCCCCGACGTTTCACCTCGGCAACTCTGGCTGCGCGCGAAGCGGGGCCGCACCTTTGGTTGGAGTGCTCGAGGCTGCGTCGAGGCCCACGGCGACAAGATGCTGCTGTACTTTCCAGGTGAGCCCATGTGCAGCGCACACCTCGTGGAGCACATGGCCTGGCAACCGGCAATGCTTGGCAACGTTCTCTGCTGCTCCGTCAGCGGCCCCGCTCGCCAGCCATGACTGACGAGCGGCGTTTCCACCACCACTACCATAGGCAGGAGAGGGATGACGATGATGATGATGATGATGATGATGATGATGATGATGATGATGATGATGATGATGATGATGAGGAGGAGGAGGAGGAGGAGGAGGAGGAGGAGGAGGAGGAGGAGGAGGAGGAGGAGGAGGAGGAGGAGGAGGAGGAGGAGGAGGAGGGGAGGAGGGAGGAGGAGGAGGAGGAGGAGGGGAGGAGGAGGAGGAGGAGGAGGAGGAGGAGGAGGAGGAGGATGAGGAGGAGGAGGAGGAGGAGGAGGAGGAGGAGAGGAGGAGGAGGAAGAGGAGGAGGAGGGGGAGGAGGAGGAGGAGGAGGAGGAGGAGGAGGAGGAGGAGGAGGAGGAGGGAGGAGGAGAGGAGGAGGAGGAGGAAGAGGAGGAGGAGGAGGAGGAGGGGAGGAGGAGGAGGAGGAGCAGGAGGAGGAGGAGGAGGAGGAGGAGGAGGAGGAGGAGGACGAAGGAGGAGGGGGAGGCGGAGGAGGAGGAGGCGGAGGAGGAGGAGGAGGAGGAAGAGGAGGAGGAGGAGGGAGGAGCAGGAGGAGGAAGAGGAGGAGGAGGAGGAGGAGGAGGAGGAGTAGGAGGAGGGGGAGGCGGAGGATGACGAGGATGAGGACCTCTCCATCCTCCCGTCCCTTCCGTCTTACCTGTGGCGGTTGTGGTGGGAAATCGGCCCAGGAGGAGGAGGAAGAGGAGGAGGACGAGGATGACGAGGATGAGGACCTCTCCATCCTCCCGTCCCTTCCGTCTTACCTGTGGCGGTTGTGGTGGGAAATCGGCCCATCAGTGACAGAACTGGCGGTCGACCTGCCCCTCCCCCTGGGTCTCCCTTTGCCCCTCTCGCTCCTCCCCCTCGCCCCTCCCCCGTCGCCCTCGCCCTCGCCCTGGACCCCGAGGACGCCGATTCTGCTCCAGTGGACCCCAAGGACCTGGTGACCGAGGTACCGAAGGCACCGAAGGACCTCGGCCTAGCCAGAGGATGGGGAGGAGGGCAGCTATGAGCGGGATGGCGAGCTGGCTGACGAGGAGGAGGGCCTCCAGCATGTTCGGTGAGTCTTCGGAGGTACCCGCAGGTGTTTGAACGTTGAAGGCGGTGTTCGGGAGTGCTCGAGGTTCCCGCAGCCTTTAAGATGCCCCTCAAGGGCTCCGAGGCCTCGCGCAGGGGCTCTGATGATGCCAGTTCCCCGGAGGCGCCGAGGCCTGTCCGAAGGGATGTTCCACCTCACGAAGTCCTGCCACCAGGAGGGGAAAAAGCACAGACACAATTCATCGACGATTTCCCAGAAAATAGGGGAAATATGGAAAGTGAGGGGGGGAAGGCAAAAACCCAGAAAATGTAGGAAAATATGGGTGATCCTGTTATTTGTGTTTATCGATTTGTGTGTCCCAGGGCCCCTTTATGCCAGCCTCCCTTCCAAGATGATATTTGACACAGCAAGCAGCACAGATACGGGCGTCGCAACCGCCCTGGCCCGGGCAAGCGAGTGCCGAAACCGTTTTCTGCAGAGTATTCACCCATGGGCGGGGGAGATCTTACGGCGGCGGCATTGGATAAGGAACGTCTCCCTGGGTCCCAGACCCTGGCGCATTCCTGATTGTTTCAGGGCGAGGTGGGTGGCCCACGTTTGGCCGCCCATCGGTCGCGAGTCTCGGGGTTCCTCATCGAAGGTATCCTTATCTAAATGAGGAGGGAAACAACACACAGACACGATGAATCGTCGATCCCCAAGAATATATGGGAAAATATGGGCAGCGGGGGGGAATACGAAAACCCAGAAAATATTGGAAAAATATGGGGTATCCTGGGATTTGTATATTTAGTTGTGTGTCACTGGGCCCCCTCACCAAAACCTCCACTGTATGATGTATGCCTGGGGCACCCAGGGAGCATTGATCAGGACAGTGACGTGCCATCGTGTTGGCTTCTCGTTTGCGAGAGCTCCTGGAGCTTCGCGTGCCCCCGCCGGCCCATCCAGGGACGATGCCTAGGGGGGCCACCAATCAGGGGCAACGATAGGGGGGGATAGGCATAGGGGGGATGCATCGACCTCCAATCGCCCATTGATCGTCGATCGGGGCCCGATAGCTCCAACCTGCCCAGGAAAGTGCGGATTCACCATCGGAGGCCTATCGCCGATCTATCGGCGATGTATCGCCGATCCCAGGTCGATGCATCTCGCCCTATGCCAGTCCCCCCCTTTTCCAGGCCCCTCACATCAAGGAGGAGGGGCGTTGAGAATCACATCGGGAAGCAAAGCGGCCAACAATGATGATCTCAGAGGCCTCTGGGAGCCTCTGGGAGGCCTCGTGGAGCCATCGTGGAGCTCTCTTCTCGGACATGCTGGGAGCATTTGGAGAGCTCTCGGGGCTCTCTCTGGGCGCTCTGGGGGGCCCTTGGGGGCTCTCTTGGGGCCACCTGGGCAGGACACTGCTTAAAAAGGGGGGGGGTCTGATCTAGCGTCACCCCGTCGGAGCCAGAAGAACCGCTTCTTCGAGCCCTGTTGGGATTCTCTTGGGGCTCCCTGTGGCGGTCTTGGACAAAAACTCGGGGCCTCAGAAGCCCATCGAAAGCGAACTCGCGAGGAGGACGCGATCATAGAAACAGCTTCGGTTTCTAAAGGATTCTGGCATCCCTGGAGTATATCCCTGGGAGGCTCCGTGGCCACTGGGAGCCGTCTTGAAGCGGTCTTGGGGCATCCAGGAGCCATGTCGAAAGCAAGATTGGACCATCTTGATTTATCCAAGCGCCTGCTGCAAATCCGCCACCTTGCCAGCGAAGCACTCTGTGTTGCCAACCTCCGAGGGCCGCCCAGAAGACCGTCACGTCATGCGTGACACCTCCCATCTTCATTTCTTCAGGAGCTCTTATAGAGCCCGTGTGGGGCGTCTTGAGGCCGCTCCGGCTTCGGTGGGACCGTCTTGGGGGTCCCTTGGGGCCCTCTTGGGCCCTCTTGGGACTCTCTTGGGCAATCTCGGGGCCCTGTCGAGCCATCTTGGAGCTCTCGTTCCTGGCTGCGGGTCAGACATGCTTCACCAAAGTAATGTTAGGCATCGCGCTGCCTCGTACTTTACTCAGGAGGAGTCGGGCTCTCGCCCAGGACTTCCGCGCAACTTTCTTGGCAATCCTGCGCTCGCCACTCAGGAGCTTCGTACTCGCCAGAGAACTCCGTGTAATTCATCGATGGATCGCTCCATCGACCGAGACTGCTTCGCCATCCAGTCAGGCATCGCTCGTTCATGTCTCGCCCGTTGCGATCCGCCCGCCAGGCCCGCCCGCTAGGTTCCGCCCGACCCGCCCGCCAGGATCCGACCAACACAGTATATAGTGTCCGCCCGTCCGAAGCTGTCCATTTCTGGATCATGTATTCAGCTCGCTTGGACTATCCAGGGGTCCTTGCTGACTCTACACCCCAGCCCCCTCTCTGGCTCTCGGTCTGCGTGGAGCACTCCAGCCCCTCTCTGGGAAACCTTCGGGGAGACCCGGATAGGGGGCAGGAGGGGATCAGCGAGTCTTCTTCCTGCAGCGCCCCCGGCAGCTGCAGCCTAGGGGCTGGCCTCAAGGTCCGCCCAGCTCTGCGCTGACAATGGCTTGGACCAGCATGCTGTGGTGCCGATGCTGACGAAACGTGCACAATCCAGGCAGAACTCGCTTCGGCGTGATGGCGCCTGCCACCGCTGGCCAGCGCGCCCTCGAAAGGAGCCTCTGCGCCTCTCGCCTGCCCGCCACGTGCAGTGGAGACCCCTGCCAAGAAGCACCCTGCTTGCCTCCAGGCTGCCCCTGGGTTTCTCGGGCCTCGACGCTTCAGCCGTGGGAAGGCGTGACGCTCCCACGCCAAGAGTCGATGGACGTCCTGGGGTCTCAGGGTTGGGTTTCTCGTGGACGGTTTCTTGTGGTCAGAGATCGATGCAGGATGAAAGTCCGCTCAGAACATACTCTGGGTGGGGTCCGGGGCCGATGTCGAGCGGGTTGTGATCCTGTGACCCCCTCTCCTTCAACTCTTATTTCTCCTGTACTCCCTACCTCTCCACCCCCTTTCCCCTTCCTCCTCCGCTCTTGCCTCGCCCTCCGCAGACCTTTGGGTCCCTGGGCTTCTTGTGGAAGGCTTCCTGCGGCCTGGCCTCCGCTGCGGTGCCCGCCGCCCCCTCGCGGCGAGACGCCGCGGACGCTGGCGCCTGCCCGCCCCCCCGTGGGCCAGCAGCTCCGGCGACCCGCCGGGCACTGCCGAGCACGCATTGGGCCGGCCCTGCCTCCGTCTGGCTTTCAGTCGGGCCTGTTCCCCTATACAGGGGGACTTTCGACGAAGAATTTTAAAAATGCCCCAAAAATAGTCCAAGAATAGTCTGGAGATTATTTTTGGATTTTTTTTGTTGCCTTTTGGTGTATTTTTTTGGTATTTTTTTCGTCGACAATCCCCCTGGGGGACAGGCCCGACTGAAGTCTGGCTTTGCGGCGTCCCCGCCGCTCGGTATAGTTTAAAACCGATCCCCATCCCCATCCCCATCCCCTTCGAGGGCCCCACCAAACGACCGCCCCAGTCGGGGATACACCCCTCGAAACCCGAAGGGAACGGCCTGTATCCCCACCCAGGGGGGTAAATCTGCCGGTGGGGCCCAGGCCACGCCGCTAGGGATGGGGATCGGTTGAACGATGCTCAGCCGCGCAGCGGGCGTCAGTTTTCGCACCCTGCCCCCTCTTCCAGGCTTCCCTCTCTTTCGATGTCCCGCCCGCGCGACCCCCCTGCTAGGACTGGCCCGCCCGGCCCGCCTGGCAGGGCCCGGCCGCCTGACGCGCCCTTGAGAGGGCCCGCCCTCTCGCTTGTTTGGAAGGCCGCCCGTCCGCTTTGACGTCCCGTCCGCCCGACCCGACCGTCAGGCCTCGCCCGCCTGCCCGACCTGCCCCCCTCGTTGGGCTCCGCCTGCCCGACCTGCCCGTTAGGATCCATCCTCCCGACACGTCTGTCTTACCTTTTCGGGGCTGACCCAACGGTCGGCATGAAGGAGTCCCCTCAGAGGGGGTACGTTCATATACCAAGAGGACGGGTGTCAAGGGCGTGGCGTAGACACTTCTGGTAGCACGCGATCGATGACGAGCGAACTGTCTTAACTGTCTATTATTGTTGGCGGTTGGGGTGGTGATTGCGACGATGCTGGCGACGACGATGTTGTTGCTGCAGCTGCTGCTGCTGCGGATGGTGATGATGATGACGATTATGTGAATGAAGATGACGATGCTGCTGATGACGATGACGATGACGATGATGATGCTGATGATGGTGATGATGCTGATGATGATGACGACGATGATGATGATGCTGGTGCTGATGATGGTGATTATGATGATGATGTTGTTGTTGTTGTTGATGACGATCAGGGGAAGGATATTGTTAATGAGGATGATTATGTGGATGGTAAGGTGGATGACGAAGACGATGCCCATGACATGACGAGAAGGAGGATTGTATGGAGCATGTGGGCTCAGACGATGATGCACATGATGATGATACTGCCAATGATGATGATGATGATGACGATGATGATGATGATGATGAAGATGATGATGATGCTGATGATGATGATGATGATGAGTATGATGATGATGATGATGATGATGATGATAATGATGATAATGGTGCTGCTGCTGATGATGACGATGATGGTGCTGCGTATGATGATACGGGTTATGCTGACGATGATTGATGATGCTGCTGATGATGATGCGTATGATGATGCTGCTGATGACGATGCTGCAGTTGCTGATACTGATGCTGATGATGCTGAATATGATGCTGATTCCGATGCTGATGACGATGACGATGATGATGGTGATGATTGTCGTTATGACGATGATGCTGATGATGATGAGGGTGATGATGATGCTGCTGATGATGATGTTTATGATGGTGCTGATGATAATGCTGCTGCTGCTACTGCTGCTGATGATGATGATGATTATGATGATGATGATGATGATGATGATGATGATGATGATGATGATGATGATGATGATGATGATGATGATGATGATAATGATGATGATGATGATGATGACGATGATGATGATGATGATGACGACGATGATGATGATGATGATGATGATGATGATGGTGATGATGATGCAGATGATTACGATGAGAATAAGGAGGAGGCGGAGGAGGAGGAGGTGGAGGATGGCGAGGACGAGGATGAGGATGAGGCGGGAAGAGCGTGATGACGAGGAGAAGGGTGGAGGAAGTGGATGACTCAGGATGGGAGGCGAGGGACGGGCGGGCGGGAGGGAGGATTTTTTGGGGATGGAGGGGACGGAGTTTAGGGGCCCTTCTCTCTCCCTCGCCCTCGGCTGCGCGCCCTCGGCTGCGCCGCGCTTCTCTCCCCTCGCCTCCCCTCCCATCGGCTCACCCTCCCCTCCTTTCTCCCTCCCCTGTCCCTCCCCACCCCTTCCTTTCGGCCCTGGCGTGGTTCGGTCCACTCACCTCCCCCGCTTCTCCCCCCTCGTCGTCGCCTCCACCCTCCACCCCTTCCCGTCCACCCGGGCCGAGGACCCGAAGTACCCCGTGACCTGGGAGGGGGCATCGGCCCCAGGGGTGCCTGGTTTCAACAAGATCGCCGCACTGAGGCTGCTGAGGCCTCGGCGTCGTCGACCTCGTCGTGGTCGTGGTCGTGGTCGTGGTCGTGGTCGTGGTCGTCGCCATCGTCGTCGTCATCGTCGTCGTCGTCGTCGTTGTCGTCGTTGTCGTCGACCTTGTCGTCCTCGTCCTCGTCCTCGACTTTGTCGTCCTCGTCGCCTGCGCCCCTCCACCTCCGGTTCGGCCCCCCCCCCCCCCCGCTCCCCCCCTTCCTTCTGAACCTCTCCCCCTCGCCCTGCCTCCACCCTCGCCCACCTTCCCCCCCTCCCCCCTTCCCCATCTTCGCCCTCTCGGCCCTTCGCTCCTCCCCCTCCGATTCGCCCTCTGCCGCCCTTCGCTCACCGTCCTTCGCCCTTCCCCAACCTCCGTTTCCCCTCCCCCTCCGACGCCCCCCTCCCCCCCAGACCCCCCCCCCGCGCGAAGGCTCGGCCACGCGCAGAGGGGGATCAGGGGGGAGAGGGGAAGGCTTCTTAGAAGGAGGCTGCTTCCTAGGAGGCGCGGGCCTTACATCTGCAGACAAGGCCCGCCGCGCCTTCTAAGAAGCGGCCTCCTTCTGAGAAGCCTTCCCCCCTCCCCCTGCCCCCCCTTCTGCGCGTGTCCGACCCTCGCGAAGGCCGCTGAAGAAGGCCGCGAAGGTGGCAGCCGCGGCCCTTGAGGGCCCCGTCCCGCCAGCGGGCAAGAGCGTCGCATGCCCGCCGCTGCAGCCGCACCAGGAGTCGGTGGCACTGCTGCTGCACCCGCAGTCGCCGGTGACGAGGCTGCTGGTCGACCACCCCACAGGCTCTGGCGGGGGTCGAGGGTCGAGGATCGACGTTCGAGTATTGAGATATTTGGGTCTAGTTGATTCCACGTGTGTCTGCCTCTGGCATGCTTTTTCTCGCAGCGGCTGGGTGCGCCTCGAAGATCTTACCGCTTCATCCGTAGCCTCAAGCTGGCTCAATCCACGACTGGTGAGACCACCCGTTGCACTTGCAGCAGCAGCACCACAACGTTGGAACGTTGCGGAGAGTCGCTGTCAGGGTACTAGGGAAGTTGCGGATGCTCATCCTAACACGCGTAATGTTAATTTGTCCGCCGATGTGTCTCACAACGATCACCAGCAAAGTGGCAGTGACGTGTACTTTCGACCATGTGCTCAGCCGCCGGATGATTGCGACTATCGAGATTGCGCCGCCGACTTTTCTCATGGCCGCGGACGGGGTGGAATAAGCCCGATTCGGCCGCTCGGTGGCCGTGAATGGCGACGGGGCCCTGGTGGCGGTGGGGCCCCGCATGACGGCAGGAGCGATGCCCTGGCCCGGTCTGGGCCCGTGTACTTCTTCGACGCCGGCGGCGCGCAGTTGGCGAAGCTCGTGGCTGCGGACGGGGCCGCCTTCGACTATTTCGGGATAGCGGTGGCCGTGAGCGGCGACGGGGCCTTGGTGGTGGTAGGTGCCCACTACGACGACGACGCCGCGCCTGGCGCTGGGTCCGTGTACATGTTCAACTCGACCGGCGGCGCGCAGCTGGCGAAGCTCGTCGCCGCGGACGGGGCTGCCCACAACCATTTCGGCCGTTCGGTGGCCGTGAGCGCCGACGGGGCCCGGGTCGTTGCGGGGCTCCGGCCTGGCAACACGGGCCCGGGTCCGCGTACGTGTTCGACGGGGCCAGCGGCGCGCAGTTGGCGAAGCTCGTGGCTGTGGACGGGGCCGCTCCTGGATGGTGGTGGGGAGCGTCGATTCCACTGCAACCGTGTCCGCGTACGTGTTCGACCTCTCCATCCTGGACGCGCCGACGGGATATATTTGTGCAGTGGGTGCGCACTGCAGTAGCTTCAATGGTCAAACAACTGGTACTGAAGCTGACGTCGTTGCGGCTTGCGACCTCGATGCCAATTGTTCAGGTTACGCCTATGCGTACGGATATGCGAATCATGCTTACCTATGCAATCCGACCGTTGATCCTGGCCCAACCCAGCATCATAATCATAGGCTTTGTGAGAAGGTGACCTCAACGACGACTGTGAGTCCAACCGCGAATCCACACACGACCTCTGCGAGTTCTTCGACAGCCGCGAGTTCCACCACGACTCCGCACACGGCCTCGGAGAGCTCAAGCGCTACCGTATCTTTGACGACCACGAGTTCCACGAGCTCCACCAGGACTATCCACACCACTTCCGCGACTTCTTCGACGACCGTGACTTCCACCACGACTCCGCACACGACCTCTGAGAGTGCGCTGGCGCCAGCGCCACTGTCGGACACGACGGTGACGACCAGTTCAAGCGAGTCAAGCGCCGTTGAGACGGTGGCTGCTGACACCGCCACCGAGGATACCACGGCGTGGGGGTACAAGGTGGCCTCCTTCATCATTATTGCCACGATCAGCTGCCTGGCCTGCTGCGCCATGTGTGCCAGTCCAGTGGTCTTTGTTCAGCGCCTGGCGCTCCCAGACAATGGCGACGAGGTTCTGACGAGGTGAGCCTTAAGGTTGTTGCCTTTTTGGATGCGCGTGGTGCTAGGAAGGGTGGAACTGACCATCCATATGACTTTTTGGCTATCATATTCAGAATATACTCCCCTGGAGCGGGAGTCGAATGGTATCGCATTGCCGACAATGAGCGGGGTTTTCTGCAGCACTGTTGGTGATGACCCCGCGCCGTTTCGCGCAAATGTTTCATGCGCCACTCGTTCTGGGCGCAATCCAGTGCCCTGGGTAGCCTTCTCAGAGGCTTTGCGCGCGACCCTCCTCCTCCTCCTCCTCCTCCTCCTCCTCCTCCTCCTCCTCCTCATCCTTCCCTTACTCGAACGGTGCCTTGGTTTCCAGTGCCATCCTGCATTGCTTGTCTCACCTGGCCATTCACAGCCTGGTCATTTACAGCATGGCCAAAGAACGCGGCTGCTGTTAACACTGGTTGTTTACTTTGTAACTTGTTTCATTCCGCTGTGCGAAAAAATCCTGCCGCTTCGTGTATCCCCACTAGCCCAGCCCGAAACAATGCCCAGATAATTTCTTTTAATCTGGGAGGAAGTGTATGAGCAGGCAGTGGGACAAAGAGGGGGCAGTCGGCAAATCGAAGCTCGGCATAAGCCTAAGCAGACCCAAGAGTAAAGCGAACATGCCTTCATGGGCCTGTCGATGTGGGGGCCTCTTGGCAGCTTATGTGGGCCATCTTCTGGCCTTCTCGGGGCCCCTCCCGGGGCCATTTCGGAGGCCATCAATCAAACAATGAGGGCGGCGCTTATCATAACCCCACGCCGAAGACCCCCAACTCGCCTCTTGGGGCCCTCTTGGGTTGCTCTTGTGCCTCTCTTTGGCCTCTCTTGGGGCTCTGTTGGGGCTCTCTTGGGCCTGTTTGGAACCGTTCCGAGGCCTCAGAAACCCGAGCGACAAGGCGGTACTGCAACACTCACTCGTTTCCCTTTGGTGCTTGAAGGCTTTGCCTGTCGGGGGCGTCCCCGGAGGCTCCGTGGCCATTTCGAGAGGGCCATCGCGGGACGGTCTTGGCACCTCTTGGGAGATATGTCGGAGGCGACCTGGAGCCATCTTGAGCCCTTCTGTGCGACATTGTGGGCCATCTTGGGCTGCTTGGGGCCACATTGGAGCCATCTTGACCCACATGCCTCCCAATGCTGTCTCCGAGCCGTTTGCATCTTTCAGCCATCCAATTGATACAGTTTCTCAATGGATTTGGTTTTGAGTGAAAGGGGAGTCCTTATGTCAGCCCCCTCGCCGGTGCTCTCAAATCGCTTTTGTGGGCTCTCTTTTGGCGCTCTTGGGCGCTCTTGGGATCGTCTTGGGGCCTTCTAGGAGCCCTCTTGGGACTGTGTTGCGCAGTCTTGGAGGCGTCTTGATTCCTCGAAAGTAAATCGGAAGCAGAAATGCGATACTGCAACAGGTACGTGCTTGCCTGAGGTTTTGCAGCGGTGGTCTCTCGGGGGTGTCCTCGGGATGCCGTTTAGAGCAGTGTCGGAGCGGTCTTGGGGCCTCTTGGAAGCATGTTGGACGCTATCTTGAGCCATCCTGGACCATGTCGGCGCCATCTTGCGCGCAATCTTGGGCACCCTGACCGCTCGCGACCCCCCCGTCCCTCTTAGAAGGCGGCGGGACTTCTCAGAAGCCCTCGCGCCTTCGGATTGTCATTGTCTTCGGGGAAGGCTCAGACACTTCTCAGAAGGCCAGGGGGCTTCCGAGCCTTCTGAGAAGGCCTTCTCCTTCTCACTTCCCCCCCTCGCTCGCCGCCGAAATGAGAACGCGCCCCATGGCATGCCTTGGGGTCGGCCACCACCCCGTAGGCCATGGGCGATGATCGAGGAGCAGGGAGGAGGGACCGAAAGACAAGCGCGCGGGAGGTTCTTCTAATTTTTCGGCCTCCAGGGGCGGGGGGGGCGTTTCGGACCCTGGGGCCATCAGAAATCGATCCAGGATGAACAACTGGCCAGGATTGACTGTGGGAGGGGTCCAACGACCCGATTTGACAAGACTTTTTGCTGGGGGATCGGCGACCTGTCCCGCTCTCGGGTGGCGGGAAGGTCTCCAGATGTTCGTTGGCCAGAACCTCCATTGATGAATGCGGGAGGTGCTGCGGTTGGCGTTTTGTGGGGCCGCGCCGACCTTGGCCAAGTCTTGGGGCCCCGCAGGGGTCCCAAACCCTCGTGTTCCACGTCCGGAATACCCCGGCGGGGCCGCCGGGGTCACCCCGCAGTGCCCCCGGTGGGGCCGCCGGGGTAGACCCGGAGTACCCTATAGGCCAGGCGGCTGAGGTGACCCCGAGGCACTTGGCATCGCTCGGACGTGTGCATTTTTCCTTCGGCGAGGACCATCGAGGAGCATCCTTGATCATCACGCACGAAGCCCCAAAAAACATGGGGAATGGACGTCCGAGCGATGGCCAGGGTACCCTGGCGGGGCCGCAGGGGTATACCCCCGGGGTATACCCCGGCCAGGTGGCCGGGGTGACCCCCTGGCCGGGCCGCTGGGGCAACCCGGGGGTGCCCCGGCTGGGCCGCCTGCCGCCTGCCTGCCGCTGGCCAGCCATCTCAACGCATGCTGGCGCCTTTGTTGCAGACCCCCCCCCTAGCACGGGTGAGTGGTGTCCGGTCTTGGGTGGCAGTTCAAATGGCCCGCCTCCATATCTCAGGAGGGAAAGAAGCACACAGACACAATGAATCGTCGAGTCACCAGAAATTACGGGAACATATGGGAAGTGGGGGGGAAGACAGAAACTCAAAACATATGGAAAATTATGGGTCATCTTTTAATTGGTGGGCGTTTATTTGTGTGTCCCAGGGCCCCTTCAATATCGGCGATGTCTCGCCGACTCGAGGTCGATGTCTCCGCCTGAGCTGGCTACCCCCTGCCGTGACGCCTCCTGCTCGCAACTTTGACCCTGACCAGCAGGCTCCGGCAAGACGAGGGAGATGATCCGCGTGCTGGACAACTTCTTCTCCGACCACAGGCCGAAGGTGCCCATATTCCCCAAGGAGCCCGTGTGCCGCAACTTCTACGCCGAGCTGCTGCGTTGGCCAAGTCGCTACCGCGACTTCTTCTGCTGCTTGAACCCAGAGGAGGCCAAGCAGGCCTGCGGCTTGCGGAGCTGGCGCAAGCGGCGAGAGCAGCTTTGGTCCGGGGGGGGGGAAACAGACGAACAGCGTACTGGTCATGATACCCCTCTCTCGCTTTCGCCTTCTTAACATTGGGCCTCCAGGGGTGCCCTCGTCACCACGACTGGATTCGCCATGAGAACCTGGCCAGAACGAGCCCCAGGAAATGCCCGGGGAGCTGCAGAATCGGTATCATACTGCTCCCCCCCATTAACGCCCAGCCCCTTGTCCTCCCATCTTTCCCCTCCGTCTCGTCATCATTCCCCTCTTGCCGCTCCTGCCGCTGCTTCTTCTTTCCTTTTTTGTTTTCATCCTTCTTCTTCTTATCCGCACCCCCTTGCCTGCCACCTCTGCTCCTCGCCCCCCCCCCTCGCCATCGTCCACCAAGCCCTCGTCCTGCTTCTCCTCATCCTTCTCGTCATCGTTGTTGACATCCTCCGTCAGGTCGTCGTCGTCCTCGTCAGGCCATCATCAGGTCGTCGTCGTCGTCGTCGTCGTCGGCGCCGTCGGCGCCGTTGCAGCCGCCGCCGTCGCCGTCGTTGTCGTCGTCGTCGTCGTCGCCGTCGTTGTCGTCGTCGTCGTCGCCGTCGTCGTCGTCGTCGTCGTCGTCGTCGTCGTCGTCATCGAACCCGTCATCGTCGGCGTCGTCGCAGGGACCTGTCGGATCTGGACGAGACGGAGCTGCGCAGGCTGTGCGCCGCGCTGCGGGAGACGCTCGAGATGAAGGGCTGGTTCTACATGGGCTGCATGGCGCGGGGAGGGCCCTCCCCCATCGACGCTCGCCTCTCTAGGATTGAAGCGGCCCTCCCCCTGGGCCTCGGCAGTCCCCTATAGAGTTGTGGAGGACGATCAATGGAGAGGAAGTATACTGGCAAATTCTTTCCAGATGTCTAAGCAGTGGTTCAAGCATGTTTTTCTTTTTAATATGCTTTGGAACGTTTGTAGAACACGTTTTACACATCTTAAACACATCTTTAATTCAATGATCGGATTGTTAGAGTGTCCATTGTCATGGCATCCACAACTCTAGGATCGAAGCGGCCCTCCCCCTGGGCCTCGGCAGTCCCCTATACAGGCTTCGTGTGCGGGCATCCAGGCACCCCTGGAGCCCCCACCTGGGAGGTACCTTCGTGAAGCGCCTCCGGAGACTTCATGGGGAGGTCCAGGTTGCAGGCGTCCTTTCCAGAGGTCAGCAGGAGGATCCAAACGGAGGTGGGCCGAGGATCTCGAAGCGACGGTGCGAAGGCACCACGGCGGTGGAAGGAGCCGGATGCCTGTCGCAGAGAGCTCGTCACAGTGAGAAAGGGCTTGGCAATTGAAGTCTGAACTGAAGTCAGGCATACCCTTCTACAAAAATAATAATTCAAGAACAGTGAAACAAGTAATCTGGAGGCGATTGCTGACTAGTTTTGACTATTTCTGAGTTTTTGTTAACACTACGTTTCATGTTTCTTCCCAAATCTGCCTGTAGGAGGACACGCCCGACCTAATTCCACATGCTTCGCGTAACCCCACCAGCCCTGCAGCCAATTAAGTCGCTCTGTGCCCCAGACGTCTATCCCGCTTCCTGGATCTGTCCATGGAGCCGCCGAACAAAAAAAGTAACCCCACCAGCCCATCTGGAAACGATGCCCAGGCGAGTTGCCCTGATCAGGCATGTGGGGGAGCACGCAGTGGAATAAGGGCTGGGAACCCGTCATACCGATACCCCAAGCGGGGGAGGATAGAGCAGGAACCAGAGGAAGAGGACCTTGAAGCGTCTTGGCTGCCCCAGGGGGAGCCTGCTAGGGGATTTCACGGGAGCCTCTTGGGGGCATCTTGGGGGCACCTTGGGGCCTCCTGGGCGCCTCCTGCGGCCCTCTTTGGAGCCCAGGGGGTAATCTTGAGGCCATCCTGGAAGGGATCGATCAAAGAAGCGGGGGTACACACTTAACACCGCCCCCCCCAGGAGGCCAAAATGGGTCCAAAGCCTTGATGACATCAATGACTTTGGCTTTCTCGCCGAGGCAATTTTGGATTCTCAAGGCCTCGCGAAACGCCCCGTCCAGGTCCAGGGGGAGGGGTAGGCAGAGGGGTCAAGACACCCTCCCCGCCCGCAAGTCGTCTCGCTCACTCCCACTCGCCCTCCCAACACAGAAGGGGCACACGAGCCACAGCGTATTGAGCGGTAGTTTTTTTGATGGACAGCTGGGGAGAACCAAAGCAGACCCCATGTGCGCAACGCTGGGGCGAGGTGCGCCAGGCGTGCCAGGCGCGCCAGGTGTGCCCGGCACCCCTGTGGCCCAAGCGTGCCGGGCACGCCTGGTGCGCCAGATGCGCCACGTCATACACGTGTGCCGTGTATGCTCCAGCCTCGCCAGGTGCGCCACGTTCTGGGCACGCGCAGATTTTGCCAGATGCTCCTGCGCACGTGGCAGTACACATCGGGAAACGTGTCGGCCCCCACCACCCTTGTCGAAAACCGGTGCGCAATCGCGGCGAGGTGGCCATCATAGCGTCTGGTGGGCCTGCGCGTAGCAGGCAATATGCCAGCAACCCCGCCGTCCCAGTCAAGAGCCAATGCACAGTGATCGCGGTGTGGCCGCGCACGTTCCAGATTTTGTCTCGAAGTGCATGTTGTATCGTTTTTAACAGGGATGCTGGCTCTGCGCGCAGCAGGCAATATATGGGCATCCCCGTCGTCCCTGTCAGCAAAAATATAAAGTGCTCGCGGCCTCGCCGATCATGACCCAATATTTTTGCCCAAAGTGGAGTTGACATCTGACAGGGATGGCGAGGTGGGGGGCCCTCACTGGTCCTGGTTGGATGCAGGTCGGCTTGGGGAGGCTGTGTTTATCAACAGGGCACAGTGATGACCCCTCCCAGAAGAGGAAGAAGAGGGCATTGGATGAGTAAACACCTTGCACTATTTATGCCTTAGTGATCTGGTGGGATCAGATGTGCCAGGCGACTATATGAGCGGCGCCCCCGCGCCTCCTCTCGGTCCTACTCGCAGCCGCGCTTTTAGGCGACTTAGGAGTTGCATCTTGCCTCCTGCCTCTTCAGTCCTGGCGTCCTTCGACGTGTTGCGGTTCGGCCACGCGCAGAAAGGGGGGTACGGGGAAGGGAGGGAAGGGGTTCTTAGAAGGACCCCTGCTTCTAAAACGCCTTCCCCCTCCCCCCTGATCCCCCCTCTGCGCGTGGCCGAGCCTTACGCGCGGGGGGGGGGAGGGGGGGGGGTCGTCGGAGGGGGAGGGGAAACGGAGGCGGAGGGGGGCGGCGCCGGAGCCGCGCTGGGGCCCCCGGCGGCGCCTCCGGCGCCGCCCCTGGCGCGCTCCGCGCGCCAGGGAGGGGGGTCCAGCGCGGGTCCGAGAAATCCGCGCGGGCCTCCGAGTTTTTATGTTTATGTCATTATTCGTTCCCCTATTTTCCCCCGTTTACTCCTCCTCCTCGCCCCCCCCCCCATTCGATAAATTCGACGCTTCGTCCCCACCAGCCAGTGCGACGGTCCCGTCCCTCGGGTGCTACCCTACACTCGTATGTGTGGCGCTGAGTCACTTTGGTGGTGCATTCCCAGCTACCCGTGTTTCTACCGTGTGGCTTTGTGCACGTTGCTTTGTTCTTACCAGTCGCTGGTTAAGGGCTCAGGCGCATCTCAGTTGTGGAAGGTTCTTTCCCTGGCTACTTTGTTCCACTCTCTGGATGCGTGTTCTGACGTCGCGATGGTCCGCTGCCGCCGTCAGGGCTTCCCCGCTGGACTGTGTCACCAGGCAGTCTGTGCCTACCCGTCAGACTCCCTGGATTGACGTCCCGCTCGGGACCGTTCCCCACCCGTTCTTACTCGAACTGTTGGGAACGCCTTACGCGCCATTTTGGCTGCGCTCGGCTTCCTCGGTGCCTGTTCAGACTCCCTGGATGCGCCATTGCATGTTCCTTTCAGGGGCTGCCCTGCAGACTCCCTGGATATGCACGCCTTGGCTCAGACGCCCTGGGTCGCTGCTGCCTGCCGCCTGACCGCGGCTCCGCGCGCGCCCGCCCCCCTAGTCGCGGCCGCAGCCCGACCGTGACCGCCTGCCGCTGGCACTTCCGCCTGCGGCTGTAAAAAAAGAAGTCCCCACTAGCCCATCCAAAACCGACGCCCAGTCGAGTTGAGACGTTCATGGAAGCGTATGAGCAAAATGACGGGCAGTCGTTATCGTTCGTTTGTACGTCCGGAGGAGGAGGAGGTGGATGGAAGATGGAGGAGGGAGGAGGAGGATGAATTTGCGGAGGAGAATATTAATGATGATAATGATGACGATTCATATGATGATGATGATGCTGATGATGATTGTGAAGCGGATACGGATGAGGACGAGGATGATGAGGGCGAGGATTATGATGATGTTGATGATGATGGTGATGGTGATGATGATGACGATGATGATGATGATGATGGTGATGACGCTGATGATAAGGATGTTGATGATGGTGATGCTGAGGATGCTGCTGATGATGATGATGGTGATGCTGCTGACGATGATGTTGATTATTATTGTGATGATGATGATGATGATGATGATGATGATGATGAGGATGAGGATGAGGATGAGGATGGTGATGGTGATGGTGATGGTGATGGTGATGATGGTGATGATGATGCTGATGATGCTGATGGGGATGATGATGATGATGATGATGATGATGATGATGATGATGATGATGATGATTATGATGATGATGATGATGATGGTGATGGTGATGATGATGATGATGATGATGATGATGATGACGATGACGATAAGGAGGAGGTGGAGGAGGAGGAAGAGGAGGAGGAGGAGAAACAGGGCGAACAGAAGAGCCACACGCTTCTTGAACGCCTCTCGGAGTCTCCTCGGATGTCGCTTGAACGCTTTTTGGAGGCCTCTTGGGGCGTCTGGGGGGGGGGGGCATCTTGGCGGGCCCAGGGCCGTCATTAAGCGTCTTGGGTGCAAAGGGGGTCCTCTTGAGGCCTCTTGGGGGTCTCTTGGGAGCCTCTTGGAGGCCCTTTTTGTGCCTCCTGGAGCCGTCTGGGCGCCGCTTGGGACCCTCTTGAGGCGCTCTTGGGTGGGAGCTTTAGGGGCGCTCTTGGATCCATCTTGGAATCCATCGATGCACAACGAGGGCAGCTTTAATTAGCCTTGCCCTTCTGGGGTGCCTGAAAGCGCCTCTTGGGGCGCTCTTGGGGCGGTCTTGGAGTGCTCTTGGCCCCTGTTGGGGCCCTCTTGGAGCGGTGTCGGATGACTATCGGAAGCGAAACAAAAACGAGAACGCAAACCACATTCATTTTACTAAGGTGTTCGATGGTTTTTGGTCTCTTGGGGGCCTCCTTGGGGAGCTCTTTGGCCACGTCGAGCCATCTTGAGGCGGTCTTGGGGCCTCTTGGAGCATCTTCGAAACCATCTCGAGCGATCTTGCGCTATCTGGAGCCATCTTGACGGCCATCTTGCACTCTCTGAGGCCCTCTTGGAGCCATCTTGGGCCATCTTGGACGCTTCAACTACCCGCGACCAGCCCCGTCCAAGTCTAGGGGAGGGGGCAAGGGGGAGGGGTAAACCCCTCCCCGAAGGGGAGGGGGGTTGGACGAGAAAACTCCCTAGACCACCTACGCCCAGAGGGCTGGTGGGATTGGACGGGCTGCTGAATGACGGCCCCGTCCGCTCTAAGGTCTGAAAGCCTGGTCAGTGATACTCCTCCTCTTTAGGAGGAGGAGGAGTAAGAGGAGAGGAGGAGGAGGAGGAGGAGGAGGAGGGAGGAGGAGGGAGGGGGAGGAGGAGGAGGAGGAGAGGAGGAGGAGAAGATGAGGATGAGGAGGAGGAGAGGGGGGAGGAGGAAGGAATAGAGGGGGGAGGAGGAGGAGGAGGAGGAGGAGGAGGAGGAGGAGGAGGAGGAGGAAGAGGAGGAGAAGGAGGAGGAGGAGAAGGAAGAAGAGGATGAGGAGAAGAGGAGGGGGAGAAGGAGGAGGAGGGGTCCTGCTCCTTCTCCCCCTCCTCCTCCTCCTGCTGCTCCTCCCGTTCCCCCCCCAACCTTCGTTGACGATGGCGGCGGAGGTGCGTTCCAAGCGGAACGACTTCAAGAAGCGCTTCCCCAACGACGAGCTGCCGGGTGGCCCTCTGAGGGCTCTGCGCTGCCCTCAGAAGACGATGATAGTGCTCATGATGCTGCTGCTGCTGCTGATGGTGCTCATGATGCAAATAATTCCCTACCTTGGCTCTGCCTAGAGGGTTCTTACTCTCTTTCTTAAAGGGGCCGGGCAGTGCACACCGCCCCGGGCGGTTCCCCCAGTATCCGCCCCGCGGTCCCCCCAGTTACGTCCCCTTAGCTTAGCGTTGCTTATCTCATCTTAGCTTAGCTCATTTCATCTTAGCTTAGCTTCATCTGAGCTCAGGTTTATCTTAGCTTAGCTTACCTTCATCTTAGCTTCGCTGAGCTTTAGCATAGCAGAGCACAGCATAGCATAGCAGAGCGTAGCATAGCATAGCGCAGCACATCATACCATAGCATCGCCCAGCATAGCATAGCATAGCGCAGCATAGCATAGCATAGCATAACAAATCATAGCGCAGCACAGCACAGCACAGCATAGCACAGCGCAGCATAGCATTATGATCAGTCTCGTTTGCTAAAGCCTCCAGATCGTAGAATCCATTAAAGTAGTTTAGAAGTAACTTCAAAGTAACTTCGCGCATTTCGTGGAATATGTACGCCCTCAGAGGTTTCGCCCCGATGGAAGTAAGTCAAGGGCCCAGCGCTCCTTGAATCATATCCATTAAAGTAGGGACGCGTTCCCACGCGGGAGTTCGCCACATGGGAGTGGGCGCGCGCGCGCGCGGGCGTTCTCCAGAACGCCCCGAGCGGTGCATTTTCTTGCGGTGTCTATTTTGATCAGTCGAAGCTCATTTTTTTCCTCCTCTTCCGATTGGGTAAGTCCCTTCCTCCTCCTCCTCCTCATCCTCCTCTTCCTCCTCCTCCTCCTTCTTTTCCGCTCCTCATTCCGAGATCATCGCTGATTTCATTGGCCTCTTGTTTTTTTGTACGCCCCTCAATTTGTCTGGTTCCCCACCTCTCCCTCCGCCCTGCCCGCCTTGGCAGCAGTCGTTCACTCCTTCTCCGCCGCCGTCCCCCCTGCTCCCCGACCATACCCTCCTCCCACCCCCTCGCTTCTCCGACCACTCCCTCCCCCGACAGCCCCCCCCCCCCTTCCCCCGACCACTCCCTCCTCCGACCACTCCCTCTTCCCCCCTGCTTCCCGACCCCTATCCGCCCACTCCCTCCTCCCGACCATTCTCTCCTCCCGCCCCTTGCCCTCGACCCTCCGTCCCTCCTGTCCCTTTTTCTGGCTTCGTCCTTCCTCTAATTGTTGACGCTTCGCGTATCCCCACCAGCCCATCCAGAAACGATGCCCATGATAGCTGACGGGGGGGAGGGAGGAATAGACATACAGTCAAGCAGCGCGGGCAGCAAGAGTGAATTGTTGTGGAGGTCTCTTGGAGCGTCTGGGAGGTTTCTTGGATGCCTGGGGTCCTCTTCCTCTTTGGGGTCTCTTGGGCCTCTTTGGGGGGGCCTCTTGGACAGCTGTCGGTGCTGTCTGGGCGGCCCTTGGGACGTCTCGGGGGTCTCTTGGCCGTATTGGGGGGCTCTTGGGCGACTTGAGTGCCTCGGGAGCCTCTTGGGGCCGCTGGGGGCCCTCTTGGAGGCCTCTTGGGGGCCTCTTGGGGGTTCCTTAAGGTCCTTGAGGCCATATAGGGGCCATCTTGGCGCCTCTTGGGGCTTCCTGGGCGCCTCTTGGGGCCATAGTGGGGGAGATCGATCAACGAAGGGGGGTTCCCGAATTAGCATCCCCCCTCAGGAGCTCCCCAACTCCCCTCTGGACCCCTCTTGGGGCGCGTTGTGGCGCTCTTGGGGGCGTGTTGGGGCTCGCTTAGGCCCCTCTTGGGGCCATCTTGGGCCAGTTTAAAATCATCTTAAGGCCTCGAATGGCCATCAACAGCGAAACGGTGAAAAGGCAAACCTCATTGGCTTCGTTAGGTTGTTCAATGAGTTTGACCTCTTGGAGGCGTCCGTGGGAAGCTACTTGGCCTGTTGGCGCCGTCTTGGGGCGGTCATGGGGCTTCTTGGAGCATCTACGGGGCCATCGTGAGGCATATCAGGCTATCTTGGATTATATTGGGGCTCATCTTGGGCTCTCCGAGGCGCCATTGGAGCCGTCTTGGGCCATCTTGGACGCTCCGACGGCTCGCGCTCCCCCCGTCCAGGTCTATGGGGATGAGTGGGGGGAGGGGTGAACCCCTCCCCGAAGGGGAAGAATTGGGTTGGAAGAACCAACTCCCTAGACCACCTACGCCCAGAGGGCTGGTGGGATTTCCTTTCCCTGTCCTTCCTCCTGTCCCGCCTGCCAGTTCCGTTCCCCCCTTCCCCGCTCATCGCGTTTCCAATCCCTCCCCATTCTTCCCCTCCGCCTCCAGCGCCGCCGCTTCCTTCCCTCCCCCCTCCTTCGCGCCACGCGCTCGGCGTGGCGCTGGCCCCCCCGCCCGCCGCCCGCGCTGCGGCGCGCCGCGCCATGGCGTCCCCTTGGGACGCGGTGGCGGCCGCGGCGCCCGCTGCCGCTGGGGCAGGCGCAGGAGGGGGGCCCGAGGCCGAGGACGGGGCGGAGGGCGCAGCAGCGCGCTTCGCAGCCACAGCTGCCGCCGCCGCCCCGCCGCCGCGCCCCCGCCGAGGCAGAAAGGACTGGAGGCTAGAGGAGGTGAGGAGGGAAGGAGCTGCACTAGGGGCGGTCGCCCCCGCAGCTCTACCAGCAGCAGCACCAGCGCCACCAGCAGCAGCACCTTCAGCACTCGCCATCCCATTGCCAGAGGCTTCCAGGCTTGAAGTCGGCTTTGGGTTGGGCCCGCTGGTCCTTGGCGGCTTCTGGGCTCCGAACCGTATGTGTGGCATACTGGAGACGGCTTGCGCGTATGCCACACGGTTCACAGACACAGTCGACCATGATGTTATGAGTTTGTCCTCGCACCTGGACACTTCTTCTCGTGGTACGCTGAACTGGACGCAGCTTGGACAGACGCTCGGGTCAAACAGCCAAGTGCTGCAGGTCAAGCTACGGAGGTTGGCAGAAGCAACTGTCCTGTTACAGAGTTTCGAACGGCATGCCCAAGACGGTTTCATAATGCGTGCACTTCACCCCCGTAATTGTTTATATTACGTTGAACAGACACGTTACGATGAGACACCGATGAAAGCACGAATCTCTGGCGACAATATCCAAGACCTGCTACCAGCTAATGTTGTACTTGACGAACGAAGGCCTACTGCGGCCGAGAAGCTGGTTGAGCACCTGGCGGCGGCAGTGCACGCCACGCCCGAGGCGGCCAAGGTGTTGCAGATCGGAAGCGGCTTCGGCATGATTGCGCGGGTCCTGAATAAGTTGGCATGCTTGATGGGGCCCACCGTGGCACCGTTAAAAGTTCTGGAAAGCAATTCAGCCAATGTTACGCGGCAGGCGTTGGAGCAGAGTTCGGCGGTGGGCAAGCGCGCGGGCGACTTCCAACACAAGGTCAGGGCGGTCTGCTCAGACAGGCACGGGGCGACCATCCTTGCGGAGAAACAGATAGCAGCTACCAGGGGGGCAGCGTGGAAAACTTTGTTCAACCGATGTGAGATCCACTGCACGTCAGGGTGTTTCGAGAAATCCTTCGGCAACATGTTCACAGATGACGTTTCAGGGAGCATTAACTGCGCCTTGTCGCTTAAACATGGACCTGCGATGAACTTATTCCGCCAGAGCCTTCGTGACATAGTGCAGGACAGGTTGGTTCCTATCCACGTCGCCCCTCCGCCAGACGCAACCGAGTACAGGAAATTCTGCATCAACTTGTTCATGCAAGGAGGCGCCAACCTGCCCCAGAAGCGGCTTCTCCTGTCTGTGCTCCCGAATGGTGATTGGCGGAAGCACGACCGCGTGGAGTTCTACTGCAGCGAGGAGTTCTTGAACAGAGTTGGTAAAGAGAAGCTTGCAGATGTTATAGCGAGGGGCCTCGTGTTTGCCCTGTCTTCCAGCCAGCCGCACTTGTGGCCGAGGCATCGCTGGCTTGGCGCTGATCTCGCAGTCGAAGAACTCGGCAGGCTTGAGGCGGTGCACGGGCTTCTCAGCGCCGTGTACCCCGTCTTCTGCGACAGGGTTGCTGGGGGGCGCCCGAGGGGCCCAGCTGCGCCCGCCCCGGCGTTCCCAGCCATCGCCGCTCCAGTCGGCGCGCCAGCTGCTATTCAAGACGCGCCCGCAGTGGCAGCGGGGGGCGGCGTGGCCGCAGGAATGGCAGCACCAGACCAGCAGCCGCAGGCGGGAGGCGGAGATGCAGCACCCAACGATCCCGTGGCGGCGCGCGCCGTCGAGAACGAGAGGCACAGGAGGAAGGCGAGGGCTTGGCTAGCAACGTCCCCCTTGGCAAATCTCATGTTAATGAGACAGGCTATGCAGCCGCTTGTGACCTTGGTAACGCAGCAGCTCAAAGTCGGATCAGCAGATTGGGAGATCTCAGAGCGAAGCAAACTTGCGAAAGCCGTGCTATCTGGTGAGGCCACCCATGGAGTGCGATCTTATAGGCTATTGGTGGCGGCGTCAGGGACATTGGAACACCAGGTAATGGAAGCAGTCAGAGACATATCCACGACGAGGTCAAAATGGGTTCACTTCCCATTATCATGCAGGCACTTGCGCTTCAACGCGCTGGCGTTCAGGGTCCTCAGCCGCAGCCTTTGCACGGTCCACGAGTTCATCTCAGTCTACCATATGCAGTTCCCAATTCGGCTGTTCTTGTTGCTACTACATCCCGAGAAGGGCGCGGAGATGGCAGCCATCAGAGAATGTTTGTTGGACCCGTGGTCTTTGTCTATGAAGAGACAGCATCCAGATTTTGACGGAGAGGAGTTTTTCGCTAAGCTGATGCTGACGGCGCTACTGCAATACACTGACATGAGCGGCGTCGAGTCCCGACATTCTTCGATACCAAGGCAGTTGACTCAACGGTCGTGCCAAACGCACACCCTCGAGATAGCAGACGCCAGTGCCGAATTCGTTTTTCAGCAGCTGAGGACTTCGAGGCGACGCAGGCACATTGTGCAAGCAGGCACTGTGGCAACGCCTCCCCGTCCTCGGCGGGTGACCTCTCCTCCTCTTCCTCGCTGCTTGCCGCCGCCGTCCTCTTTCCTCTTCTTTCCTCAGGGCAGCGGGGGCGGGGCTGGGCAGGGTTGTTGTCGGTCAGGTGCAAGGTTGTTGTCGGCCAGAGTTCAGACGCGCACGCACGCGCGCTCGCTGCGAGGGTTCGGTGCGATTTGCGTCATTGTGGGGCTTGTCGCGCGCGGAGCGTGGAGGGGGCCACGCCGGCCGCGAGCGTGAGCGCATACGGGGGAGGGGAGGAGGGATGACGGGGAGGAGGGGCGGCAACAAGGTGGGGGGGCAACACCGCTCGGGCCGTCATTGCCCACAGGCCGTACAGGGGGTGCGTCGCACGATCTTCTCGGCCCCAACGGGGTCGGGTGACGCCAGGCGGCTGCTGGGAGGGATCGGCCAACTCAGAATTTCTTTCCTACCAATTGAGACGAGTCAGGGGCTGCTGTCGCTTCCCAGAGTCACCGACCTTCGGCGATATATTGCTGCAGCGCGGGGGATGTGGTGGAGAGGAGTGTGATGTGTTCCACGTGTCGCAGCGTCGCGATGCGTTGTCGTGCACGCGTGTCCCCCGCAATACGTGACATCGTAGCGCTGAGAAGGTTTGATTCCGTGAAGTTGGTGCAGGGTTGAGCCGCTTCGCGGCACCACCATTCTGGTCCCGAGCTTGTGTTATGATATGTGCGCCTTCGGCTGCTTTCGGACAGCCCGCAGCGCGCCCCGACGGGCTACAGCGACAGAAGGGTGCAGTGCGGCATGGCTCCGCACGCGCCTCTAACCCTCTCTTGCTCGTGGGGGGTAGCGGATCTTGGATTGGGGTTGACGTCCATTGGTTTACACGTGCAGTTTTGAGATTCACGCTCGATTTGCGTGCTCTGCCTGCACATGCTTCTGCTGCCAGCTGTACTCCTCCAAACAATCCTCTCCTGCTGGTTCCCATCCTCCCGAATCCCATCTCTTGTCATCGCCCCGCCCTACCCCATCGAATCCAGCCTCACCCGCTCTCCGCGCTATTCCCCATCATCTCCTCGGACGTTCCCCCTCCATTCACCACCTTCCGCTCCGCCCCGCCCCCTCGCCTCCACCGATCCTCTCTCGTCTCGCCTCCAGCTTCCTTCTTTGTTCTCATGCGACTGGTCGTTTGTCCGCCCGCGGGCTGCGAGGTGAAGCCGAGCATCGGCAAGCAGCGCAGACTCGCGGCTGGGAGGAGGGCTCAGAGGGAGTGCAGGGGAGGCGGCTTGTGGCGAGCCCGGGTGCGCTCTAGAGGGTCGGGCGGCGTGGGGCTGCCCGACACCAGGGCGCTTGCCATTGAGTATTCTGCTGCCAGGAGGGAGCGCCGTCCCGAGCTATTGGCATTGGTCCCAATCGCGAGAGCAGCGACATTGGCGAGCCGATCGATGAGGGAGAGGCTCGGGCAGAGGAGGGTGGCAGCGTTCGGGCCGAGCGTTTCAGCCGTTAGGAGGAGGAGGCAGCAGGCGATTGTTGAGTCCCAGGCAGTGCAGTTGGCTGACCTAGATGCCGACGGGCTCGTCAGCAGGCTCACCCAGTATAGTGAAGCAGACCTTGATGATGGCTTTCGAGTTGTCAAGTACATGGAGAGATACAGGTCCAAGAGGTTGAGGTCAGCACATATTGATGACGACAAGCAGTTAGCACTCTTTGAAGATACGGTAGGTGTCCCTTCAATTGCAGAGCTCTTGGAACAGTTGCCCCAACTGGACGGTGCGTACCTGACGCGCGTGCCGTCCGAGCATGCAGAAGTGTTCAGTGTCGCATCTAGCGCCAAAGACGTAGCTAGTAAGGTCTGCAGTTGGATTGAGGCTACTTCTAAACTTGACATCGGCCAGACGTTGGATCGACAGTGGATGGACAGACATAAGACAGTATGCCACCGAGTTGCGCCTGTGCCCGACGTTCCCGCCGATGCAGCCCCATCGAAGTGTTGGGAGCGGGACTGGTGCACGTGCAGTCCCGCAGGCCAGCGTAGTTGGAGAGTGCGGAACGCGCTGCTCAAGCACATGAAAACTATATTTGCCCCACCCCCCAGGGGTTGCAGGCCCGTGCTCGCGGAGGGGAGTGCAGTCCTGAGGATTGTGGGCAGCAAGGAGGTCGAGGCAAATGTAGATGATGATCCGTGGGCTGCTGTGTCGGCCTCCAGACCCGTTGACCACGTGCGAACAGAAGTATGGTACCATGTTGGATATATGCAGCTCAGCCCGTACAGGCCCACTTACCAACGCATGGTGAAAATCGATTGTCCTTGGGCCAGTTTGTCTTCAGATACGGTTGACAGGGTATGGCTTCAGGCGCGCGTCTGCTCTTTTTGCATGTCTCGCATGTGTGCATTAAGTTGTAATAGGGGGTGCGATATCATTACATAGCTGTTGAGTTCGACATGCGTGTAGCGACATACTGATGTGTCCCCTTCAGTGTTGTGGTGGGTAAGCCGTAAGTGGTGTTACAGTATGTTGCAGTGCGCGTCTCATCACATGTAACACTAGCACGCAACTTGTACGCATGGCTCTTCTAGGGTTGAATGTCACGGCGTTGCGTTGACTTGCATTGCTTCCGACAGCATGTGTTGTCGTGAGCTTTGTTGGCCGTCGTCTCCCCCGCTGCGAGTGCCATGTGAGGCAACTTTCGAACCAATGGTGGAGCGCCAAGCTATTGAGGCTGTATCCAGCAACGATGTGGTGTCTGTCCGTTGGTATGAGATTGAATCGTCATCGCAGCGGGTGCCCTACTTATCTCCGAATTGGGTGTCCGTTCGTGCAGTCCCTGGTGCAGCTGATTTCGCACAGGTGTTCCCGCCGCAGAGGCGCGGGAGGAAGAGGAGGCAGCCAGATGTTGATGCCGACGTGGCCGACCCCGATGACGGGGACGGAGCCGAGCAGCTAGACGTAGACGAGAGCGCCCATGTTGAGAACGACCCCGAGGGCCACCACCCAGACCTTCCCGATGAAAGCGGGGGCGATCCACTGGTGCCCCTACTTGATATGATTGAAGATTGGCACGCGGAGAAGGTTGAGAAGGTGAAGGCTGCCTCGGCAGCCCCACAGCCCGCGGGCCCAGGAGGGCCCGCTGGGCCCTCGGGCTCAGCAGCCCCCCAAGGCGGCGGCGACGATGCGGGTGCTGATCCAGTTCCCCCACCGCCGCCGCCTCCACCACCAGGTCCTCCAGCCAGAGGGGCATCCAGCAGAGCCGACTTCACCATGGATGTCGAGGGGGGTACCATCAGGTTTTACGCCAAGGGCAACATATACACAGCCACGCGCGGATTTCACGATAATTGTGTATTGACACGCACCAGGAACAGGGCACGTAGGAGGAGCGAGTTGAGCGGGGAGATGCGTGTTATCGGTCGGCCAGTCGGGTTCCTCACTGCTTGGTTAGCTGCTGGAAGGGGCCCAGGGGTATTCGATAAGGCGTCCCATTCAGATCCTGAGTTGCAAGCAACGCTTGGCTGGGACACCCGACACTATCAGCGGTCAGGCCTCAAGACCACGGAGGCTGGCCGCACCCTCCTGAGTTATGAGAGGGCGATGGAGGCTGGCGAGCTCAGTGAGCCTGAATCGGTTGGTGCATATATTTCGAGAGCTAGGTAGATCCTTCCATCGGTGACGGGGGCATTGCACGTAATAGTAGATAGTGTAGTGTAACAAATAGACTTGCCGCTACCATCCTTGAAGATATGATGGGGAATGCAGAGCATGGGAGGAGGATCAGTGGGGAAGAGGAGGAGGATGAGGATGTTGCACTAGATGCAGCACAGTGGCGCATGAGGGACGAGGAGGAGGAGGCGGAGGAGGAGGAGGATCATCATCATCATCAGCATCAGTCTCATCATCATCACCATCACCACCAGCATCATCATCACCTCCTCCTCCTCCTCCGCCTCCCCAACCTCCTCCTCCCCCTCCTCCTCTTCCTCCTCGCCCATCGCCCTCTTCCTCCTCCTCCCCTTCCTCATCTTCCTCCTCCTCCCCCACCCCTCCTCATCCTCATCCTCCTATCCTCCTCCTCCTCCTCCTCCTCCTCCTCCCCCCCCTCCCCCTCCTCCTCCTCCTCTTCCTCCTCCCCCTCCTCCTCCTCGTCCTCCTCCTCATCCTCCCCGAGTTGCCTTGATGAGTCGAGGTGTAGTAGCGGCAAACAATGGGAAAGTGATTCGCAGCCGTCTTGGTGGGGTGCCATGGTCATGAATCATGCTGCCAGGCAAGCGGCGTCCGACTTCCTCCTCCTCTTCCTCCTCCTCCTCCTCCTCCTCCTCCTCCTCCTCCTCCCCCTCCTCCTCCCCCCTCCTCCTCGTCGTCCGCCTCCTCCTCATCCCCCTCCTCGTCCTCATCCACCTCCTCATCGAATTGCCTTGATGAGGGAGGTGTAGGATCACGCAATCCAAGAGTGAGCCACACCCGCATTTCGGCACAATTGGGAGGTGATCGTATGCTGAATTATGGCTGGCATAGGTGCGCCTGCTGAATTATGGCTGGCGCATGTGCGGGCTGGGCAGTTGGGCGTTCAGTGCATGTGTCGGGGAGCGTCTCGTTAGCCCTCCTCCTCTTCCTCCTCCTCCTCCTCCTCCTCCTCCTCCTCCTCCCCCTCCTCCTCCTCATCCTCCTCCTTCTCCTCCTCCTCCTCCTCCTCCTCCTCCTCCTCCTCCTCCTCCTCCTCTTTAGGGACTTTAGGGCAGCGGATGGGGGTGATGCCGATTGCAGATTTGCTCACGCATGTCTACCCCTTTCATGCCGTCCTCCTCTCCCTCCTCCTCGGGCAGCTTGTTTGGGGAGGTGCGGCATGTGCTGCAACGTGGCGCTGCTGCTCCTGCGGCAACCGCGGGCAGCTGGCGCAGGCCCGCGCGGGGAGGGGCGTCGCTGATGATGTGTTGGTGATGTCTTGTTGCGGATGATGGTGACGAGGAGGATGCTGTTGAGGTTGCCGATGTTGCTTGTCGATGCTGCTTGCGAGTATGGTATGTTGTTGCTGATATTGCTAATGAGGGGTGGTGACAAGCAGCGGAAGGGGGGCAGGGAGGAGGGGGGGAGGGGGATGAGGATGAGGATGAGGATGAGGAGGAGGAGGAGGATGTGGCACTATATGCAACACAGTGGCGTAGGAGGTAGGGTAGGGGGAAGGAGGAGGAGGATGAGGAGGGGGATGAGGAAGACGGTGGTCGAGGAGGAGGAGGAGGCGGAGGAAGAGGAGGAGCAGGATGAGGAGGAGGTCGGCCACATCCGTTTTTGGTGCGGACCCCGTGTCATGCTGCCAGACGAGCGGCGTCATGCTTCCTCCTATTCCTCCTCCTCCTCCTCCTCCGTGGTGCTCCTCCTCCCCCTCCTCATCCCCCTCCTCCCCCTTCCTCCTCCTCTTCCTCCTCCTCCTCCTCCTTCCCCCCCTCCTCATCCTCCTCCTCCTCTTCCTCCGCTTCGTCCTCCTCCTCCTTCTCCCCCTCCTTCTCCTTCCCCCCCTCCTCCCCGCCCCGCCCTCCTCCCCCGCTCCTCCTTCCCGAGTCGCCTCGCCGAGTCGCAGCAGGACACAATCCAAGAGTGGGCCACGCCCGTCTTGGTGCGGCCCCCTTGGGGTCGTCTCTGGCCGTCCTCCTCATCCCATTCCTCCTCCTCATCCTCCTCCTCCTTTTGCTCCTCCTCCTCATCCCCCTCATACTCGTCCTCCTCCTCCTTTCCCCTCCTCATCATCCTCCTCTCTTCCCCTCCTCCTCCTCCTCCCCCCTGCCCCGCCGCCACCTCCTCATCCCTCTCGACTCCTCGTCCCCCTCCTCCTCCCTCTCCTCCTCCCCTCCTCATCCTCCTCCCCCTCCTCCCCCTCCTCGTCCTCCGCCTCGTCCTCCTCCTCCCCCTCCGCCTCCTCCCCTTCCTCCTCCTCCTCCTCCTCCTCCTCCCTTCCGCATCGAGTTGCCGTGATGCGGGAGGTGTAGTACGAAGCAATCCAAAAGTTAGCCACATCCGTCTTTGTGGAGGCCACTCGGGGTCGTCTCTGGCGGTCCGTCGTGGGCCATCCTGATGCTATTGGGCCGTAGTTGGTGCATGGTGGGCCGTCTTGGAGACATCTTGGGGCCAGTATATGCGCTCTTGGGGCGGCAACCTTCGGCGTCTTGAGTCGTGGGGGCAACTTGAGCAGCCTTTGGGACCTCATATAGGGTTGTTGGGAGAGGGAGGTGGAATCTCGTCAGACCACCTGCCGCTTAAATGGCTGGTGGGTTGAACCTTACAGCCCCAACCCTCCCAAGGCCCACGGGATTGTCCTGGGCACTCGTACGTAGCCATTTTGGCTCACGCCAGCAGCGTGCTGCTGGTGTCCAGGGCGGGCAGGGCTCCGCCGAGTGCGGTTTGGGCCGAGGCCCTAGGCGTTTCCGCTGACATCGAGATCGACTTGTTCGTCGAGGTTCAGCGCGAGAAGCTTCGACGAACAAGCCGATCCCGATGTCAACGGAATCGCCTCGAGACGGTTGCGATGGCGCCTCCTCGCAGGCGCCCCGCGGCAGCAGAGCGCACTGACCGCTCCCGCTCGCGCGGCGTCGAACGGCAGGCGGCAGCGGCGGCGAGCAGCAGTGGCGACCAGCAGCAGGCAGCGGCGGTGCCGCACGTGCCCGTGCTGCCCATCACCGCCGAGAGCGACGAGCAGCAGGGCGACGTGCCCATGACGTTCTCGGAGGAGCTCCGCAAGGAGGAGCAGGAGGAGGAGGAGGAGGAGGAGGAGGAGGAGGGGAGGGAGGAGCGAGGAGGAGGAGCGAGGATGAGGAGGAGGAGGAGGAGGAGGAGGAGGACTGTGGTCGAGGATGGGGAGGAATAGGCGGAGGAGGAGGAGGAGGAGCAGCGAGGAGGAGGAGGAGGCGGCAGAGGAGGAGGGGGAGGCGGACGGGGCCGAGGAGGAGGAAACGGATGAAGAGGAGGAGGAGGGGGAGGAGGGCCACGGAGCAGGCGTGTGTGAAGATCAACCAGCTCGAGCTCGCGATTGCGTTCATTCTCACGTGCATCCGCATGCTGAAGAAATGCATCGCAGACCACGACCGCGACATCTGTGAGATGAAGGGCACCGAGTCGCAGCTGCAGCAGCAGCTACCAGCAGACTCGTCCGGCGGCGGCGGCTTCGACGGCGCAGCAGTCGCAGCTACGAGCAGCGACGTCGAGGACGAGCAGCACGACCACGATTTTGAGGAGGTCGAGGTCGACGACGGGCCCAGCGGCCAGTCCGACGCCCAGCCCGACGCCCAGCCCGACGAGCCCGCCAGCGACTGAGCTCGAGCCCGACGCCCAGGATTCCAGACGCCCGAGCCCGCCAAGATTGGCTCCTGGGGCCCAGCGGCGCCCTGCTCGTGAGCAAAATGGGGACGGATGGAAACATGAGACGGGGAGGAGGAGGACAAGCAGGAGGATTAGCAGGGGGAGCAGGACGAGCAGGAGGAACCGAAATAGCATGATGAGCAGGGGGCGGAGGTGACGGAGGAGGAGGAGGAGAATGAGAACGAGGAGGAGGATGAGGATGGGGGAAGAGAAGGAGCAGGAGGAGGAGGAGGAGAAGGAGGAGGAGGAGGGAGAGGATGAGGATGAGGAGGAGGATGGTGGCGATGATGATGGTGATGATGATGATGATGATGATGATGATGGTGGTGGTGATGATGATGGTGCTGTTGATGATGGTGATCCTCCCACTCCTCCTTCCCCTCCTCCTCCTCCCCCTCATCCTCTTCAACCCCCTCGCCCTCCTCCTCCTCCTCCTCCGCCTCCTCCTCCTCCTCCTGTTCCGCCTGCTCCTCCTGCTCCTCCTGCTCTTCCTGTTCCTCCTCGTCCTGCTCCTCATGCTCATCCCCCATTCCTGGTCGCCCATTTCTCCCCCTCCGCTTGGGAGGCGTCGGCGTGGACTCCGACCTCCTGGATTTCGCTGGCAATCGTGCCGCGGGGCCGCAGGCGGCGCCGCGCCGCCCTGTTGTCGGGGGTAGGAGGATGAGGAATAATAGAGGGGGAGGGGAAGGATGAGGAGGTGGATATGCCAACCAACGGCGGAGGAGGAGGGGGAGGAGGAGGAGGAGGAGGAGGGTGATGTTGACGATGGTGATGATGATGGTGATGATGATGATCATGATGATGATGATGATGCTGATGCTGATGGTGATGATGATGGCGATGATGCTGATGATGGTGATGATCCTCCTCTTCCTCCTCCCCCCTCCTCCTCCTCCTCCTCCTTTCCCCCCTCCCCCTCCCAATCCTCCTCCCCATCCTCCTCATCCGCTTCCTCCTCCTGTTCTTCCTGCTCCTCCTGCGCATCCTGTTCGTTATGTCCCCCCTGCTCGTCCTGCTCCTCCTGCGCATCCTCTGTTTATGTTCCTCCTTTTCCCACCTCCCTCGGCTTGGGAGGCGTCGGCGTGGACTCCGACCTCCTGGGCTTCTCCCGCGCGCGTGCCGCGGGGGCCGCAGGCGGCGCCGCGCCACCCTGTTGTCGGGAGGGGGGAGGAAGAGGAGGAGGGGGATGAGGATGAGGAGGAGGAGGGGGAGGAGGAGTGAGAGATTCCAAGCAAGTGCTGAGGAGGATGATGAGGAGGAGGAACAAGATGACGATGGTGATGTTGGTGATAATGATAATGCTGAGGATGATGATGATGATGATGATGGTGATGGTGATGCCGATGATGATGACGATGGTGATGATGATGATCCTCCTCCTCCTCCTCCTCCTCCTCCTCAGGTCCTCCTCCTCTCCCCCCTCCTCACCTCCTCCTCCTCCTCCTCCTCCTCCTCCTCCTCCCCCTCCTCCTCATCCTGCTCCTCTTGCTCCTCCTGCTACTCCTGCTACGCCTGCTCCCCCTGCTCTTCTTACTCGTGCATCTTGCGGCTCCTCCTGCTCGTCCTGCTCCTCTTCCTGCCCCTCCTGCTCATCCTCCTTGCCCCTCCCTGGGAGGCGTCGGCGTGTCGACTGACCTCCTGGACTTCGCTGACCTCCTGGACTCTAGGCGGCGCATTCCCGCCTTGCCGTCCTGCCTCGGGGGGGGGGGGGGGGGGGGAAGGGAAGAGGGGGCTGCCTCGCGAGATGGCGCGGCGCGCCATTTGTGGTAAAGGATGAGGAACAGGGTGGGGGGGGGGGGGGGGGAGGGGGAAGATGAAGGGGGGGGAGGAGGAGGAGGAGGAGGAGGAGGAACAGGATGAGGACGGCCACCAAGCCTCTGTCGCAATCGTCGTCGTCGTCGTCGTCGTCGTCGTCGGCTTCGCCACAATCATCGTCCTCCTCGTTCTCCACGCGTCCTCCACCTTCTCCTCTCTCGCCTCTTCCTCGTCCCTTGTCCTCTTCTCCTTCTCATCCTGCTCCTCTCCATCCTTCTTCCTGCCCCTCCTCCTCCGACATATATGTTGCCATCCGCTCTGACTTGACTCGACTGCGAAGTCTGGCAGTCGGGAGTCGGCCCAACTCGTGTTCCTTGGGGCGCGGCGGTGAGCGCAGCGAGCCCTTCCCGCCCACCCCGAGGTGGTGCGCCATCGTGGGCGTGTCCTACTTGCCGACCTTCGACTGGGCAGCCGAGTTACTTTTGCGAGCGTGCTGCTCGAGAAAATAACCTTCCAAGTGTGCGCGCTCGCGTGGTCAATCTCACCCAAAGTAGGTCATGTGTTTCAAGATACGTTCAAAGTAACTCTAAAGTAACTCCGCCACCACTAAAGTAACTCAAATCTAACTCAACAGTAACCCAAACATAACATCAAAGTAACTCCAAAGTAACTCTGAAGTACTCACGATACACGTAAAGTAACTCAGAAGTAACCCAAAAGTAACTCAAAAGTAACCCAACAGTAACCCAAAAGTAACTCCAGCGTAACTCGAACGAGCAACTATGAAGTAGAAGGGGTCACTCAAACATGATTCAAACGTAACCTTTAACGTAACTCATGGGTAACTCAAGCATAACTTTGCTTCGAGAGCACAGCGCGTGCCACCAGGTCGAACATGTAGCCTGCCGCAGCCTTTGTCTGGAAATCTGACAGGCACTTGTGCGTACGTGTTACATTAATAAAGGCGTGGCATCGAAGGCGTGGGCAAGCATCGAAGGCGTGGGCATCTGCCCTCCGCGGCCATGGCGGTGCCTGTTCGGCGGCGAGGACACCTGCCCTCCGAGACATTCGACGCCTGCTCTACTGTGAAGAGTTCGCACGATCGGCGAGGGCTGTGATCTCACGGCAGGAGATGCGCGCTTGCGGCGAGGGTTGTTCATTTTCGGGCATCCTGTGCATCGCCACATGTGAATTTTCGCAAAGTCCCCCACCGCCCCCCCCCCTCCCCGATCGCGGCGACAACAAAAAAACAGTCCCCGCCCCCCCTCCCACCTCCTCCCCCGCCGCGCTGCGCCCCCGCCCCCCGCCTCCTTCCTCCAATGCAGCACGCGCGGCGCTGGCGTGGAATTAATGCAGCGGTCCACCGCGTAGCGCGCGCGGCGCGATGGCCACTGCGTTCAAAACCGCCCCCCCCCCCGAGGTGTCACAATAGCACCAGCGTTATGGCTCTACTGCGCGTTATACTTATGCTCCCACATGACCGCGTGGGCCATCCGCGACATGCGACGCCTGCTCGACTGCGAGGAGTTCGCATGAGCGGCGAGGGCACCTCGGCGGCGAGGGCATCTGGCTCCCGCGACATGCGACGCCTGCTCGACTGCGAGGAGTTCGCACGATCGGCGATATCTGCGCCCCCACGGGAGGCGATGCGCGCTGGCGGGGAGGTTTGTACATTTGCTCAGCGCGTGCATCGCCACACGGGAATTTTCGCGAAGCCCCCCCCCGCCCGCTCCCCGACCGCGGCGGCACCGAGAATTTTTCAAAGTCGCCCCTCCTCCCCTCGCCAGTCGCGCTGCGCCCCCACCCCCCATGTCCTTCCTCCAATACAGCGCGCACGGCGCTAGTATGTACTTAGCGCAGCGGTCCGCCGCGTCGCGCGCGCGGCGCGATGGCCACTGCAATCAAAACCGCCCCCCCCGATGTGTCACAACAACACCAGCCGCGTTATGGCCCTAGTGCGCGTTATACCAGTGTCCCCACATGGCCGCGCGCCCCTCCCGCGACGTGCGGCGCTTGCTCGACTGCGATGAGTTCGCACGAGCGGCGAGGGCTGTGGCCCCGCAGCACGCGGTGCGCGCTTTCGGCGAGGGTTGCACAACATCCGACATTCTGTGCATCGCCACATTGGAATTTTGGCAAAGTTCACCCACCCCCCTTCGTCGCCGCGGCGAAACCCAGAATTGTTCAACGCGTTCCCCCCCTCTCACCCGCCGCGCTGCGCCCCGGCCCCCTTCTCCATCATCCAATGCTGCGCGCGCGGCTCCATTATGTAGGCGTCGCAGCTGTCCACAGCGCCGCGCGCGCGGCGCGATGGCCACTGTGTTCGCAGCCGCCCACCAGCGGGCCGCGCCGCGCGCGAGGCGGCCAATCCCCGCCCTGCAGCCGCGGCGTGAGGCAGATGCACATCTTTCCAACGCTTTCCCCCGCTCCCCACCCCGCCGCCGCGCTTCCCTGGCGCGCGCCCGCGCGGGCTTCCTGGGCGTTTAGGGGTCGCTGCGCAAACGTCGCTTGGGTGCGAGTCCAGCCCCACTTGCGGCCCCGCGCCGTCGCCGCGGCGCGCGCGCGCAGAAGCGTTCGATGCGTTGCCTCGTCGTTTCACAGCGGTCCAGTCGACCGCGGCGCGGGCGCAACAACGCGCCATTTTCCAAAGAACCTCCCGCCCTGCTCAAAGGGCAGCCGCGCCGCGGGCCCGAATGCAATTCCATCCAGGAACGACCCTTAGCGTTCTCGCTCTGGCCACTGCCGCGCCGCCCATGCGTCTGCGATCGCCCCATGAGCCAACGCGAGCGCAAGCAAGCTGCGTTGCTGCTCTCCGCTGGCAGCGGCAGCGCCCGCCCGCCACTTGAAGAAGCCCGTGTGCGTGCTAATGAAAGCCCTGCCGCGGCCGAATCGGAGGGCCGCGGTGCGCGCTACGATCTCGGCGGCGGGTCCACGTGGCGCCCGTGGAGCGTCTCCACTATAAATCCATATCAGCGCATCCGCTCGCCCGCGCTTCGGCGCACGCGGCGTCGCGTCTGGGGGGCGGGGGGCGATGGGGGCAGCGCGGGAAGGGGGTGCGGTGGCATGGGTGGCTCTGACGCGACGGGGGGCACGGGGAAGGCGGGAGGGTATGGGGCGGCGGGGGGGGGGTTGGGGGAGGTGGGGGGGGGGGGTAAGGGTAGGGGGTTTGCCCTTCGGTCTTTTGCGGCATACCCGTGAGGTGCGGTGGTGCAAGGAGCAGGGGGGGGGGTGGGGGGGGGGGGGGGCTGGGAATACTGTTTGCCGCGGGGCGCGCCGTCGGCGGCCGATCGCATTCCGTCGGCTTCTTTTTCCATCCGTCGGCTTCTTTGCAGGCGGACATGCGCGCGGAGTGACGCCAGCCCTCTGGGCGTAGGTGCTTTAGGGAGTTTCTCTTCACCGCAATTCAATTCTTCCGCTTTCGGGGGTGGGTTTGCCCCTCCCCTTGCCCGCCCCACCCCCATGGGCCTCGACGTGGGGAAGGGGGGGGGGGGGGGGGGGGGGGGGGGGGGGGGGGGGGGGGGGGGGGGGGGGGGGGGGGGGGGGGGGGGGGGGGGGGGGGGGGGGGGCGGGGGGGGGGGGGGGGTTCGCGGTGTCCGTCGGGGCGTTCCCTTAGCAGAATACCCTCCGAAGAGAGCCCCCCCCCGCCTCGGAAGAGAGCCCAAGGTGAGCTCCAATATGGCTCGACAATAGCCTTGAAGCATCACGAATGGCTCCTTAGAATGCTCACATCGCGGCGCACAGTCCGCCTCGGCAAGGAACGGGCCCCAGAAGGCAAATAGGGCTTCCCGGCCGAAAAGGGCACTACAAATGAGGCCGGACAGCAAAATCATCGGAACCATTCAGAGCAGGGAAACCAATGAGTGTTGCCTTCTCGCCTTTTCGCTTCCGATGCCCATCCGAGGCTTTGAGATGGGTCCGCGATGGCCCAATGGGGCCCCAAGAGGGGCCCACGAAAGCCCCATCGCGGCACCCGAGGGCGCCCACGATCGCCCCAAGAGCGCCCTAATAACGGTCCAGGGTGCGATTTGGAGAAAAACCCAAACACCACCCCCAGAAGGTGGGGGGGGAGGGGGGGTCGAAATGCGGGGCCCCGCTCTCGAAATCGAAGCCGCGCCCAATATGGCCCCGAGCGGGCGCCGTGGGAGTGCCTGGGGTTGGCTCCCAATGGTGGCCGGGCCCCAAGGTGGCAACCACTATTGCCCCAATCAGGCTTCCGCTGATGAGAGCCCCACCGACACGCCCCCCCCCCACAAACCCCCCCCCCGCCCCCCCCCCCCCCCCTCCCCCCCGGCCCCCCGAGAAGGCCCCAAGCGGCCCCAAGGGCCCCCCAAGAGGGCCCCAGGAGCACCCCAATTCGTAAAACGTTCCCACCAGGCGCCCCAAGGGCCGCCCAAACGGCCCCAAGAGCCGTCCAAGATGCCACCACAATACCCACATGTGCCCCACCCACAAAAAAACGCCTCAAGAGCATCACCGAGGCATCCAATAAGCGCGCCAGGCGCCCCAAGATGCTTCCAACACAACGCACTATTGTTACCCGCGCTGCTTGGCTATATGTTTATCCCCCCCTCGCCCGCCAGCCGTCATGGGCATCGTTTCTGGGTGGGCTGGTGGGAATGCGCGAGGCGTCAACAATTGTTGGGGGTTTGCTTCAATTGGCAATTCAACGTCGGTCGCATTCTGCAATGGACATTGCGCGACGGTCGCGCCTGCGTCGCCCGACGAGGTAGATCGGCTATTCAGGCGCAGTTGTCCGCGGGGTAGGCGGCCATGGAGAGCGCGGTGCAGGAGCTGAAGTTAGCCGAGCTGGCTAGGGCACTCTCTGACGCCCGACGACGTCTTCCGACGGGGTTGACCGCCGCCAGGGCGAGTTGCGTTCGCGCCGCGGCGAGTTTTTCGCGCGGGTCGCGGCGCGCTGCGTTTCCGACGGGCACATGCTCGACCGCGATCGCGACGCGGGCCCGCTCGGGCGCGCGGCGCCGCAGCGGCACCCGCTTGCGGAGGCCGCGCGACGACGCCATTGTGCGCGCAAGGGGCGGCCCAGCCAACATCAGTTCGATATCCGCGCGGCCGCGGCCGCCGAGTCGCGCGGCCCGCGCCCGCGCGCGTGCGCGCAGAAGGCCCGCCGCGCATAGCGGCGGGCCGCGCGGCAGTGGCGAGTTTCTTGTCGGCGGGGGGGGCTCCTGGCGGAGACTGGGATGACATTCCTGCGTGGGCCTAGGGGCCCTTCTGCCGACCTCGTTCTTTTCGGGCTTCCCGAAATACTTGGGGGTGGGGCGTGGGTTGCGAAAGCTCATCATTCCCCTCCTCTTACCTGCTCCCCCCCCCCCCCCCTCCGCCTTATCCCCTCCATCGCATGTCACCGCCCCCCCATCCCTCCCTGCCCCTCCACCTTCGCACATCCCCCCTCTCTCTCAGTATCCTTCCCCGTCCCGCCCCCGCACCCCTACTCACTTCCCCCCCTCCCACCGCCCTCACCCCCCCCTCTTCCCTACCCCTTCCCTCTTGTCAGCGATGTCCATACCCCCTCCATATCAGCTTGTCCTTCTCCTTTCCTATCCGATCCCTCCATCCTCTTCCCCTTCGCCTCCGTTCTACCCCCGCCCCCGCCCCATGCCCCTCTCTGCGTTCTCGCAGCCGCGGCGCAGGCGCGCTTGCCTGCGCTTCCATCGAACACCAAATGGTGCGTGCGCAGGGGGCCTGGGACATACTTGCGACGGGGTGCGCAGCGACCCAGAGGTCCTCGGAGGCCGCCTCGGGGGGGGGGGGGGGGGTGCGCGCGTTGGCGACGGGGGCCAGCGCCACCAGGGGCCCCGCCGAAACGCGCAGGGCGCGCAAGTCTGCTTCAAGGCTGACGCGGAGGCAGCGTTGATTTTCACGGACGCGACCCCGCGGCAATCGGTCGTCGGGCGTCTCGGGGGCGGATCGCAGCGTGACGGCGCAAGCAGCAATCTTAACCCATGGGGCGTTCTTTGCAGCATGTCGCCCAGGGGCCGCGGGTGGACATGCGTCTCTCGAACTTGCAGCCTCAGTCCGGGTCGCCCATCCTGGCGACATGGCGCGGCCAAGCGCCGAGTTTGAGAGGGCGCCACCGCGCCACCCGCAAACAACTTTGCCGCAAGGAGCCCGCTTGTCTCATGACAATGTGTCCGCGCATTGGGTTTGAAGCCTTCGCGGCGCTGCTGGAGCAGAAGCGTTCGCTCGCGAGGCCGCAGCTCCAGGGTTCGCGGCGGCCTGTGCCCCCCGCGTGCAGGAGACGTTGGGGCTGGTGGAACGCGGGGCGTGCGTGCGTGTGTGGGGTTGGTGGAAGGCTGCTGGAGGGTTGTGGTGTGGTGTGGTGTGGGGGGGGGGGGGCGAGGGGGCCGGGGGGGGGGGGGGGGGGGGGGGGGAGGGGGGGGGGGGGGGGGGGGGGGGGGGGGGGGGGGGGGGGGGGGGGGTGGGGGGGGGGGGGGGGGGCGAGGGGGCTGGGTGGCTGTGCGCGCGCTTCGCATTGCGCCACCCGGGTGGTGCCCTGTGTTGGGGGGGCAGGGGTGAGAATGGGGGCGGGGGGCGCCCCCGTCGCGCAGGGTGGCGGAGCGGGCGCGTGGCTCCGACGGGGAATAGCGTCGCGTCTGCGGGCGCGCAACCTGCCCATTTGCAAGCCGCCATGGCACGTGCCGCGCATATCAACACGCAGTTCGAACACACCGCAAAAGAGGACGCCCAGGACTCGTTGGGTGAATGCTCTTAGGTGATGGGGTGGGGTGGATGCGGTGGTGTTGTGGGGTCTGGGTGTGTGGGTGGGGTGTTGTGCGGGTGTTTGTAATGCTTTGTCGGTTGGTTGGCGGGTGTGGGTGTGCGTGTGCGTGGGTGGTGGGGGGGTGGGGGGCGGAGCGGGGGGCGGGGTGGCGGGGGCGGCGGGTGGTGGTGGGCGTGGCGGGGGTGGGGTGGGTTGGGTTGGGGGCAAGGATATAAGGGGTGTTGTTTCATCGTTTGAAAGGCGCGTATGCGTTCTCTCTCTCAGCGCCAGAGTGAGTGTTGGATTGTGTGGTGGTTGAGTGCGCGGGGCAGTGGCTCATCGCATGGCTGCATGTTGGAAGTTTATAGGTGGAGGTGTGGCGGGGGAGGGTGCGGTTGAGCAGGGTATTGCCTGAGCGGTTGTGATGTTGGGTGGTCGTGGGGTGGCCTACACTGTTGTGATGGTTGTTAGCGCGCGTATGTGTTGTGGGATGTTGCAGGTGGGGTGCATGCGGCCCGCCACTGCACGCGCCGCGCAACCCACCGCACCCTGCATTCCGCATCGCCCCCCCCCCCCCTCCCCCTGGGTCCGTTTCTCTGGAATGCACGTGCCCCGTGCCCGTGCATGATGCCAACCTCGCTTGGCTGGTTATGTCTTGCGTGTCTGGGTGTCGTTGCTGACGCGCCGCGTCCGCCCTTTGAGGTGGCGCATGGGGGGTACAACATAATGTGTGTGCGTGTATGGTTATGGTTGTGCTTGTTGGTGGAACTTGTACAGGCTAGCCCAGGTATGTACGGACTGCGCCATGCATGGGCTGGTCGGGGGGCAGTGGGGGGGGGGCGCAAACTGCAAACTTTTATCGTGATTCACCTCCTTGGTGCGACGTTGTTTTACGAAATTCGATTTGGCATCTTGCCGCGTGGGCAGAATGTGTGTGCGGTAGAATGACGGGGCATGCTGACATATGACAATGTGTACGTTTCGCTTGTGATCTCGCCGCTCTCGTGTTCTGTTTTCCTCTTCGTTGCGGCCACTCGTCCATCCATACGCTTGGCACAGTGTAGCGGGTGCTATGTCATTGTGTTGGGTGGCGGAACTATGTTACTATATTTACGTACACACAATCCGTATGCCCATGATTTGCAAATGTTAGACGCGTGATGTTGTGTATAGTTCTAAAACACAACCATTCGTAGGAACACCGATTGCATGCATGTATAAATGGCTGTGTGATAAGCTACTTCGGGTTTTCGTTGGCCACCGAGCGGCACGCAGGGGCGCGACCCGCGTGAGCAGGGAGGTTGTCGGTGCGGACGGGGATGCAATGTGGGGGGATGGGGGTGGTAGGGGGGAGGTGGGAGAACTGCTGATGTCGGAAAAGCCAGGACGGCTGCAGGACAAGGTTTTTTTTTTTTTTTTTTTTTTTTTTTTTTTTTTTTTTTTTTTTTTTTTTTTTTTTTTTTTTTTTTTTTTTTTTTTCCAGTATTGGTGAGCGTGCCAATGGCACGTCTCCTGCCTCGCGGGGCCTTTGGCGGGCCGTCCAGGCGATGGCATGTCGTTTTCTCGCAACCTCCTGGGGGTGTGCACGGGGCCCGAAACCGTGCGTTGCAGGGTGTTGCAGGCGCGCCGTGGCCGTTCACAGCCGCGCGTCGAGGGGGGTGGGGGGGGGGGGGGGGGCGGAGGGAAGCCGCGGCGGAGGCCGCGCATTGGAGCCAGGGCCTTCTTGGACGCCGCGCAAACAATTTGTCACGCTTCGCGTATCCCTTCCAGCCCATCCCAAAACATCCGCCAGGCGAGGTGCCTTCATGAAGCAAGCGCCGCAATAAGCAATCGAAAAGTGAACCACTTCCGCTTTGGATGCACCCTGGGGTCGTCTCTGGCCGTCTTGGGTCATCTTGAGGCTGCCTTGGGCTGTCTCGGGTGCAGCGTGGGCCGTATCGGAAACACATTGGGGCCATCTTGGGTTATCTTGGGGCGTGCTGGCCGTCTCAGAAGGCGCCAGATGCAACGCTGCCAATGCAACATATGATGCCAATGGTGATGGTGATGCGGGTGATGATTAAGATGGTGATGATGATGACGATGATGATGATGGTTATGATGATGATGATGATGCTGATGATGCTGATGATGGTGATGATGCCGATGATGATGATGATGATGCTGATGATGGTGATGCTGATGATGCTGATGATGATGATGGTGATCCTCCTCCTCCTCCTTCTCCACCTGCTCCTCCCCCTCCTCCTCCCCCCCTCCTCCTCCTCCTCATCCTCCTCCTCCTCATTCCCCATCCTCCTTGTCCTTCTCCTCCTCCTCCTCCTCCCCCTCCTCCTCCCCGAGTTGCCTTGGTGAGGGGGGGTGTAGCAGCAAGCGCTCCCAAAGTGAGCCGCGATCGTCTTGGCCAGACTGGTGGGCCACCGCATGGGGCCCACGGCGGGCCCGAGGACGGGCCCGCGTGCGATTCCCTTACATGTTTCTTGCCATTGGCGCTGTTGTTTGCGAGGGCGTCCCTTCGGACAGTGCTTTCCTCGTCGGCCCTCCTGGGGATCCGTAGCCATTTTGGCTTGCTCGAGGTTTTCGCTGCAATCTGCGGTGGGTCGGCATCTCCCCGACTTTCAGACGGCATCCTCGGCGGCATGGCCCATCGGGGGAAGACGCCTCCGCCGAAGCATGGAGGCGCGCTGATGGGCCCACCGCCCCCGCGCGCAGCGGGCAGGGCCTCCGACGCTGCTGCGAGTGCTGGGGGGTCCAGGACGCCGCCGCCTCCGAAGGCCCGACCGCCTCCGTCGAGCTCGGGCGCGTCCGCGGCCGCTGCCCCAGAGACGCAGAGGCAGGCCAGCAAGAAGCAGCCTAGCGGCGACAACTGCCAGTGCGGCCTCTGCAAGGCGTTCGCCAAGGACGCCAGCTCCCTCTTCGGAGGGTTTTCCATCAACACACGTCTTCCCTCCACGACCCCCTCGTCCTCCTCGATCGCCCTCAGCTGTCGCTGAGCGCCGCTTTTGCTTTCCTCCTCTTTCGCTTCGGCTCGCAGGACGGCAAGCCGTGGGCGCTCAGGAAGATGGCGAGGAAAGCGCAGGGCCTTGTGGAGGTGGCGGTCGGGCCGAAGTGCGAGGAGTGCTTCTCTATTCACGAGGACGGCTTCTCCCACATGGAGTGGGACGCGTTCTGCCAGGCGAACCAACATGACGAACAGGTCAAGGCGGACATCGCCGCCGCCAGGAAGGTGCACCCCAAGCAGGAGCCGCCGCCGACCCCCGTGCAGGAGGTCCTCGAGCGCACCGACCACGCGATCGAGTCCAGGAGGTCTTACATCGTCTTGACGGAGAGCGACTCGAGGAAGGCGTTGCAGACCAGGCGCCTCGCGAAGGAGAGCACTAAGAGCTTGTACACCGCACAGGTGCCGAAGGAGGGTGAGGATGGTTGGGAGCTGGGGTATTGGTTCGTGAATCCGAACATGCCGTACAGGACTGTGGATATCATATCCCGCACAGGCGTTGGGCGCGACAACTACATCATGGACAGAGACAAGCAGTTGTGGAAGAACCAAGGCACGGTCATTTGCTCAAGCAAGTCGCGCCTGATGCATGACCAGGCGGGCGTGCTCGCCATCCTGGAGAAGGACAAGGCTGGTTTCATGAAGACGCTGGATGAGTTCTTGGAGTCCAAGGGGGCCAAGGGCGAAGGAGTCGGCGACGGCGCTGACGCGGCGATGCCGGATGGCAGCGCTGCGCTCGCGGACGCTGCCGCCGCTTCTGACGACGAGAGCGAGGACGCGGAGTTGGTCGGCCGTGCGGCTGGCCCATCGTCAAGCCCGCCCGTGCGCCTCTCGGGCAAGTCTTCTCCAGCACAGCCGTCGCCGTCGCCGCCAGCATCGCGCGTGGGTGGCCCGCTGAAGAGGCTCAAGACCTTCGGCGCCTCGGCGATCTCCGACACCGCCTCGGCTGCTGGAGATGAGACCCAATCCAATGCTGGGGCCTCCGAGCTGTGCATGCTGGCCCCCACGGGCTCCTCGCAGGGGGAGTTGCAATCGCGCGGGGGTGGGTCCATGCGCAGGCGAAAGACGATGAGTGCGCTGCCAGGTTGCCAATGGATTGCGTGGCAAACGTTTGCGCCATGTCCGATTTGGCGAACGTGCGTTTGCCATGCGATTTCGCTGGCGAGTTGGCAGCGCGTGCGCAGCCTCCCTCCGTCTCTCTTCCCATCGCCATCCCCCCTGTCCTCCTCGCATTTCCCGTCGCCGTCATCTCGCCCCTCCTCGACTTCGAGGTGCCCGAGCCCTCCAGGGACACACCTAGTACTTCAATATCTCGCCCTCTTCGTGCGTGGAGCGCCCGCCATGGACCTCCCTCGATGCGTGCGTTGCAACAGCCCCGCTGCAGGCACGGGTGCACTCGACCATTGGAAATCGAAGATCAGCTTGGCCATGGTGATGAGCGGCCAGGTCGACGGGAGGACGATCAGCGCTTGCAAGAAGGCGGCCGCGAGGATGACCCAGAGCGAGGACGATGCCGTGAAGGCGGAGGCGCAGTTGCTCAACAACTTCATCAAGACGATCGTCACGGCGCAGTGCCTCCAAGTACAGAACATGCCGACGTGCTTCCCCGGCGACTTGAAGCTGTACGTGCGGAAGATGGTGGAGGAGGATGTCATATGGCCTTTGCCCAACATGGAGAAGTTGCTTCACCTTCGATTGGCGGATCTTCAAAAGCTTGGCGACATGAAGGCTCTGTTCGATGCGTTGGATCCCTTCAGCAACTCAGTCAATGGCAAGTTTGACCCTGAGTGCCCTCGGCTTGCCGACATCCCCCTTCCGATGGCCTCCAAGACGAAGCTGCTCGTCCACATCTCCATCGAGACCCTTCTCCTCGGGATGATCGGCAAGGGCGCGGACTCCCAGGGCCAGGTGAAGACTTACACGACGATCTGCATCGACAAGTTCGAGGATGTGGACCTGGTGTGTTTGGACGGCCCCTCTGGCGCGTGCATCTCGGAGTGCCTCGACACGTGGAGGGCAGTATTGGGGCTGGTGTCGACGTCATTGGACCCATCGTTGGAGGACGCGTGAGTTCCGAAAGCCAGGAGGTAACGTGCGTGGCAAGTTGAATACCCCACTCAAGTTGTAAGTATTTGTTTGGTTGACGCGTGCTTCCTGTTCTGCATTGGGATTGTTTGTATCCCCATGCCGTTCTGCCCAAATTTTCGCTGGGGTAGTGGGGGCGGCGGGGGAATGAGCCCCCCCCACAATGTTTACCTCCAGGTTTCATGGCGTAACATGGTTCGAGGAGGGCGGTGCGTTTTGGGGTAGTTGTAGTTTGCGTTCGTGCTTTCCTCCCTCGGTGGTCCTTCGGCCGTCGAAGTGGGCAAGCACGGAACGTGTTGGCAGCAACTTGGGGTGGGGCAGGAACACCGTCAACGTGTGCCGCTCACGTTATGTTCTCGCTTTCGGATGTCTGAGGACCCAGTCAATAAGTTGCACGCCGCTCTCGGCAAAACGACCAGGTCGCCCTTGGTCGTCGTGGCGGCTGCAGTCGCGATGAACCCTTGGTATGAAAGCCAGATGCGGGATTTCATCGAGCACGCCCCTGGTCTGAGACAGCATCACGGCCGCGTCGTGGAGATCGACAAGTTCGCGAACGAGTTTACCGAGGGAGAGGCCATGTACGAACAGTTGGCCGATGCGTTCAAGGAGCTCTCCGAGATGAAACCCGCGCTGAGGCTGGGGTCTTTGGACTCCACGGAGCGACTGCTGAACGTGTGCTTGGAGAAGCAGCGCGTGTACACGAAGGATGGGTCGCACCCAGCGGCCACCTTGCAGAAGTGGAACCGCGTGCTCGCCGAGGCGATCGGCTTGCACCCGCACGACGCGAAGATCCACCAGTGGATGGAGGAGAGTGCGGAGGCGCTGGTCAAGCTCGACCAAGGCTCCAAGATCGAGGCGCTGCGCACCCTCTCCAATGGCGTTGTGGAGGCGTGCGTGCGCAACCCGCAGTTCTCCACCATCGCGGCCGTCTCTTCTAAGGTTGACCCTTTGCTGGGCGCCGTGACTGGAGCGCACGTCGACCCCAACTACTTGACTGACCACCACGCCGAGGCCATGTTGGAGTGCGCCATCGCCCTGGGCGAGACCGTGGCCTTCGAGGTGACCATGCAGAATGTGAGTTCCATCGACGCGGCCGCCGCCGAGAAGTTACTGAGCGTCTCCATGAAGCTGGCCGCGGTCGTCGGGGCCAAGGCCAACTTCGGGTGCGCCTACGCGCCGCTCTTGCAGAAGGTCGTCTGGTTGATGTCGCAGTGGGTTGACTTTCAAGGCGTCGCCTCGCTGCTCGAGCAACCGCCCCTCATCGAGAACATCTTGGCCTTCAGCAGCTTCGACGCGAAGATCAAGCAGCTCAAGCAGGCGGCTGTTGAGGTGGACGAGATGATGACTGCCACCCAGGGTCGCGACGACTACACGGCCATCAAGCTGAAGCAGTTCCTCGCAGAGAGTTCGGCGAGCTTGACGAGGATCCTGGACGCCAACGCGGCCGCCAAGAAGGATGCAGTGATCACGGCATCAGTGGAGTTGGCCAAGGTCGCTTCGGGCCCGCAGGCGGACGACAACGCCCCCATCGTGAAGTGGCAGGACACGTTCAAGGGCTCGACGTTCTCCGACTTCTTGGCCCACTGCGACGACACCGTCTTGAAGATCAACCCCATCGGGCACAAGAAACTCATCGATGACGGACTGGAGGCACCCATGCGAATTAAACAACACCACCAGGGGAGGCGGGAGGAGGATGAGGACCCATGCAGGCGGGCCGCGGACGGCAAGGCTGAGGAATGTGGAGGTGGAGGAGGTTTCGGTGGGAGTTGTTGGCGTGCGCGGGCACGGAGGGGAGGTGAGGAGCGGTGCGGACATCGTTTAATGAGAGGTGGGTTGTCAGGCGGGCTTGGGGCCCGCCTGCAAACCCACCTCTCATCATTGACGTCTTCGCTCGCTCCTGGTCTCCCTCCCCCGCCCTCGATGGTTCATGCGCTACGGCGTTCCCAGGCCGCCGCCGCGTACAAGGAGGCCGCCGAGTTGAGCGGCGCCGAGCCCTCCACGGTCGTCCTCGAGAACGCGGCGGCGGCCGTGCTGAACGCCCAGGTCTCCAAGGTCAGCGGCGTGCTCGCCCACAAATTCAAGACGGTGACAGAGTTGCAAGTCTTGCGGGGCGCCGTCCAGTCCGAGCTGCTGGCGTTCCGTGCTGAGACCAAGCTGAAAAAAGAGGCCGCTCTCCTCCATCCAGCCTTGATGGCGCGGGTGAAGCTGGCGCTTCAGATGAAGCCTGCGCCGCCCTAGGCCGCTGCTCGCGGCCCAGCGGCCCCCGAGAGCCGCCAGGCGCCCCGTGTTCGTCCTCGCTCAGAGGGGCGGGGTTGGAGGAATAGGAAGGAGACGGAGGGCGAGGAGGAGCAGCAGGATGATGAGGGAGCGAGGACGTGAGTCAGCAGCTGCAACATGTGATATGAAGTTTCGTGTCGCTCGACGGTTTAGTCGAGCCGTTTTCGAGGCGCTGGTGCGGAAGATTTACCACACTAAGTATGGTAAAGCACATGTCGTCAGCATCGTCACCATCATCATCAGTCCTCCACGTTGTTCCTCATTCCCCTCCGTCGTCATCCTAATAATCGCCCTCGTTCCCTTCCCCACCCCACCCATCCTTATCATCGCTTCTTTTTTCCCTTGCCCCCATCCGCCCTCTTGCCTCCTCCCGTCGGCCTTCCTCCAACCGTGCCGCCCTCCCGTCATCTCCCCCTCGGCTCCTGCGTCCCCCTCCGCCCACCGCCCTCACCACTCCCTCCCTCGTCCCGCTTCCTACCCTCTCCCCCCTCTCGTCGGCCTCAGCTTCCGCTTCGCCCCCCCCCTCGCTTATTCATCCCGATCGCGTTTGCCCATTCCCCTCCTTCCTCCGCCCATTTCTCTTACCATCCCCTCCCCGTTCGCACCTATGCCGCAGATTCAGCCCCATCCACCTTGCCTCTCTCGTCCGCCGCCCCCTCCTTTACGATCCTTTCCCTGTGTCTGAAATGTGCCAAAACACATAGGATTCGAGCACCAAGGCGAGGGGCGATCTGTAATGATATACGTTACACACTTTGGATTCGAGCAGCACGAGAGGGACAACACCTAGAAATAGTTACGGATCAAACATGTACGATGCGAGTCCCAAGGGATGGACATCTTTACGAATATACGTAATGCGCCTGCGCTGTTTGAATCGGCGGGCGCGTGAGTCGATGCATTCGCGCGCCGTGGGTCTCGCCGCCCGCGGGGCTTGTGCTGGGAAGAAGGGGCCCTTCTGGGAGAAATCACGTGCGAAACGATCTCGCAGTGTTCAGCACCGCGGGGAATTCGATGTAACCTTCCGCCTCGCGGGCCTGGCCCGCGGGGTCGTCTACTTACTTGGACCGTTAAAAACACGTTAGTTATCAATAATATCCCTAAGTTATTTTGATGTTATTGTAGAGCTACTTTAATTGTTTCCCAGGATTGGCTCCTTTAGCAAGACCCATTTATCATAAGCATAGCATAGCATAGCATGGCACAGCACAGCAGAGCATACCATAACATAGCATATCATAGCATAGCATAGCGCAGCATAACATAGCATAGCATAGCATAGCGCAGCATAGCATGGCATTTCATAGCATAGCATAGCAACTAATGCTGCTTTCCTAGGGGCTCCAACTTATAGGTAGGGTCGCACTGGGGTAATGATGCTAATGGTAGTAAAGATAATACTACTACTAATGCTGCTGATGATGGGGATGCTGATGCTGATGCTGCTGCTGATGATGATGATGCTGGTGCTGCTGATGAAGATGATGAGCATGATGATGCTGCTGACGATGATTATTATGATGATGATTATGATGATGCTGATGCTGACGCTCATGATGCTGCTGATGATGCTAATGCTGCTGACGATGATGCTGATGCGAATGATGATGCTGATGACGATGATGCTGATGATGCTGATGATGGTGCTGAACTGATGATGATGGTGGTGGTGGTGGTGATGGTGATGATGATGATGACGATGATGATGATTAGGCTGATGATGATGATGATGGTGGTGTTGGTGGTGATGATGATGATGATGGTGGTGGTGGTGATGATGATGGTGGTGGTGGTGATGATGATGATGGAAGTGGTGATGGTGATGATGATGATGATGCTGATGCTGATGATGATGATGATGATGATGATGATGATGATGATTATCATGCTGCTGCTGCTGCTGCTGATGATGATGATGATGATGATGATGATGATGATGATGATGGTGATGGTGATGGTGATGGTGATGGTGATGGTGATGGTGATGATGATCGGGTAAGGCCATGACGGTCTGGGAGCGGTGCTTGGCGCAGCCGTTATGAATACTCGTGCTCACCCACGGAGCCCCCAGGCCCCACCGAGGAGGGGAGGGAGGGGGAGGGGGCGCCCTGTAGCGCTCAGCGGCTCGGGCCTGCCGCCCCCGAGCTCGGCGCCAGCGCCCCCCCGCGTGAGGTGCCGTCCTTGCCGCAATCTCCTCGGCGCGGCGGCCTGGCGGGCGCTGGTCCCGCCCGCGCACGGGCCGCGGAGCGAGACCACGCGGGCGCCGTCCGCGTAGCAGCCGCAGACCGCGCAGAAGACGAGGCGGCGCGGCCCCTCGGCCTCGGCGCGTCTCCAGAGGCGGTGCGTCTCGTCGAAGCTCACGTTCCACCAGCGCGGGCGGGCGCCCGCGGCCTCGGCGCCTTGCGCAGCCTCGGCGCCTGCAGCCTCGCCGCTCTCCTCCGCGTCGCCGTCGGCGTGCTGGGCTCCTGGGCGGGCCTGGGCCGCCAGCGCCGCTGCTGCCACCGCGGCTGCGGCGGCTGCTCCCGCGCCCTCGGCGCCGCGTCGGCCCGCACTCGCGGTGGTCCGCGCGCGGCCGCGCCGCGCATCAGCCTCCTGGCCAGGGGCCTGGCGCTTCCGCCCCGCCGTCTGCGGCCCCGGCGGCCCACCGGTGGCGCTCCCCGCCGCGTCTGCCGCCGGCCCACCGGGGACGGGCGTGCCGTCCGATCGGCCCGCGCAGGCGTCGCAGAGCCAGCGCGTCCCGCTCACGTCCGAGACCGCCGTGCCGTGCGCCCCGCAGGGCCAGCGTCTGCAGCCTGGCCCGCCGTCGCGGCAGCGCGTGGCGCCCCGCCGCCCGCATCCGCGCCCGCAGCAGGTGGACTCCGCCGCGTCCGCGTCCGCGCCGTCGGCCGCCGTGAGGGCGGCGCTCCCCATGATGATGATGATGATGATGATGATGATGATGATGATGATGATGATGATGATGATGATGATGATGATGATGATGATGATGATGATGATGATGATGATGATGCTGATGCTGATTGCTGATGATGATGATGGATGATGATGATGATGCTGATGCTGATGCTGATGCTGATGAATGATGATGATGATGATGATTGATGATGCTGATGATGATGATGATGAGATGATGATGATGAGGATGATGATGATGACATGATCTTGGACATGCGTGCTGCTGCTGTGATGATGATGATGATGATGGTGATGCTGATGCTGATGATGATGATGGTGCTGATGCTGATGATGATGCTGATGCTGATGCTGATGCTGATGCTGATGATGATGATGATGATGGTGATGGTGATGGTGATGGTGATGGCGATGGTGGTGATGGTGATGATGATGCTGATGATGATGCTGATGATGCTGATGATGCTGACGCTGCTGATGATGATGCTGATGCAGATGAGGATGATACGATGATGCTGATGCTGATGCTGATGCTGATGATGATGCTGCTGATGATGATGATGATGATGGTGATGATGATGATGGTGATGGTGATGGTGATGGTGATGGTCGGGATGGTGATGGTGCTGGTGCTTGTGATGATGGTGCTGGTGCTGGTGCTGGTGAAGGGTTGTGGTGATGGTGATGATGATGCTGATGATGATGATGATGATGATGATGATGATGATGATGATGATGATGACGGGGTTGAAGGTGTTGATGGTGGTGATGAGGATGGTGATGATGACGATGCTGATGATGATGGTGATGATGCTGCTGATGTTGATGGCTATGCTGGTATCGGTTATGATTATGATGCTGGTGATGGTCACGAGGATGACGATTACGATGATGATAGGGATGACGATGACGACGATGATGACGATGATGGTGATGATATCGACGGTGATCATGATGACGATGCTGATGAGGATGATGACCAGGGTGCTTGTGCTGCTGATGACTATGATGATTATGAGGATGATGGTGCTGATGATGGCGATGATGATGGGGATAAGTGTGACGATGATGATGATGATGATGGACATGCTGCTGATGATGACGCTGATGGTGACGCTGCTGATGATGGGTGGTGATGATATTGATAACGATGTGGATTAGTATGGTTATGATGTTTGTGATGGTGATGATGATGATGATGAGGAGGAGGAGGAGGAGGAGGAGGGTGAGAAGGATGAGGAGGACGAGGATACTGAGGAGGACGATGTTCCAAGTGCAGTGTTGCGGCTATGTTGCCACCTGGCGTGGTGGTGTCGTGCGGCTGGCCCCTTTCAATGCAATTCGAAGATTCTGTCCGTGCAGGGCCAGGTGACGAGCCCATAGCGTTTGCCAGTCAAAGGGCTGCCCCCTCGTCTTGGGATGCCTTCCGCCCGCAGGTTCCGCAGATGACCGCTCGAAACGCGAGGGTCCGCAGACTTCCACAGGAAAATTGTGAGGCCTTGCCAATGACGCTGCAGGCTCCTGCAGCACCCTCTGCAGACCACCAGGAGCCATTTAAATTCTCTCGATTCGAGTCGATTCGATTTCGAGGGTTTTGAGTTCGCTCCGATTCGGCTCCGAATTCCAATTTCGGTTCGGGTTAAGTTATGCAGGCATCGGCTAGGGCCGCCGGACGGCGATTGCGATGCTTTCCGATCTGCCTGCCGATGTCTGTCGACTCCACATGTTTCGATCGTCGATTCGATTGTCCGCTTCGAGCTTGGAACGTGCCGGAACGCTCTGAGAAGGCCGCGGCGCCCGAGACATCCTCCAGATCTGGCAGATCCCAGAGATTCTCGATTTTATTCTCACCCGATTCTTCAGGAGGGAAAAAACACACAGACACAATTAATCGTCGACTCGCAGGAAAATATGCAAAAATATGGGAAGTGGGGGGCAAGACAAAGAACCCAAACATATGGGAAAATATGGGACATCTTTTTATTTGTGTGTATTTATTTGTGTGTCCTGGGGCCCCTTCAATTCTGTCCTCGCCCTGGCCTCGTCTCAGCCCCGGGCTCCTGCGCCCCCCCTGCCGAAAAACGTGAGGGAGCTCTCGCCGACGGCCGCCCCGGCAGGGGCCAGCGAGGCGTCGGCTTGCCGCCGCGCGCTGCGCGCCAGACAGCAGCGTAGGCTTGTTGCCAACCCCGAAGCGAGCACGACAAGTGCCGGAACGGGACGGAGGTTTGGGGTGAGCCGCCAAACCCCAGGGACCTTGGCAGACCCAGGCCGCGCTCGGCCGCCAGCCCAGAGCCCGTCGCACCACTCGCGCGGCATCTGGCCGCAGTGGGCGGCTCGAATGAAGCGCAGGGGCTGCCACAAGCCACACGCCAGCCCGATTCACCACGGACGCCGCCGAAAGGGGGGAGGGTGGAGAAGAGGAGGAGGAGGAGGAGGAGGAGGAGGAGGAGGAGGAGGAGGAGGAGGGGGAGGAGGAGG